CTACATCTTTTTCCTAAAGAATCTGCCGTGTCTGAAATGACGCGTGTGTGTGAAAAAGCTTTATTTAACGTCCGCTTCCACAGAGGTGATATCGCAGACAAATGAAGCGCATAGATCTAGCGTTTTATATGCCTAGACCTCTGAAATCAAGTATGGGATTGGTCACTCATGCCCACTGACGTCACGAATTAGCCAAATATGGAATGGACATGCCCCATACCTTGCATACCAACATGGAATATTACCTGATTTGGTCACACATTCCATTACTATTAGTACATTGACCATGTAGATGGCATATGACAAATGTGTTTATTAACCTATAGTTCAATTCGTATATCAAATATATTATCACTGATTTCCGTTGTTTCGCGGGATGTCTATGAATCTGTAAACAATAATTAGTCAAGGCCATAATATTATTATACTTATGTGTTGTTTCGCACACATCTCGCCATCAATATTACTACAACAGTTCAATGAAGGTTAATAGAAGTATGGACGACATATCTCATTAATTAGATGTGAAACTGGTCACTTGCACGTAATCTCTGGTATTTAAAATGAGTTATTTCTCATTAAAATTCTGCAAAAACTAGTGGAATGAAATGATAACGTCATAAAACTATGTTAAATATAGTCTAAAAGTGGACTGTAATGGCACTAAAATACAATAACTGTAACTAAAGGAATTAAGTTTATAGGTAGTAAATTTGTCACTTGTAGTTAATAACACGTGAATATTAATTGATATATTGAATCAATAGTGACATTATATAATGCATTAACTGATTCTACTAAACTATCCGTCGATTACCACCGCCTCCAGCTACAGACGATGTAAGATTTAAGATAACTGCCTAATACCCTTCATTACTTTAAATCAATTTTATGTATCAGCAATTTCTTCAACGCCTTGTTCAATACGATAGTTAGTCAGTCATTCTTCATTTGAGATAGGAACACTGATAAACTTTAACATACACCTAATTTATAACGTCTGATTATATTTATTAATTTCTTTCTGCTTTATATAATGAGAATTTGATTGACTTTCGCCTACATTAAAACTGGTCGTTACGAATGGCTGATACGAGCATTATATGCCGCCTCTACCAGATATGAATAGAAGAACTATGTCGATCTGAGGTGTAATGGTGACTTTGACTTTTCATGTCTACTTTTTTTTATATCCATCTCGTGACTTTCATTGAAATTCGTCTAAGACGGTCTCTTATTGACTTATTAAATTCCACATTTTTTATAGGCTTTTTTTCTGATCCATGTAGTAGTCAACAACAGAGGTGACAGAAAAGACATAAAAATCCACACAACCGTGATATATTTTGTTCTGATGTTGTCAACACGTTATCCACAAAGCTTCTGAATTGCATTTATTCTCAACTAAACCCGTCCGACATCACTGAATACTAACCAAGGAAGAACATTGCATAATCCATAGGGAAATTCTCGTTAAAACCCATTAATATCGACAGAATAAGAACATCGAATATAATGATACATCGCACACACCCCCAAGGCTTAATAATTCAAAGCAGTTTAGCTGTTTAAAATACCAATGATTTACAGTCTGCATTTTATGGCTTTTAGAATGTATCACTAGTTTAAATTTATTATCCCTTGCTGAACCACTTTTGAAAATATTTTTCCTTTGTTCAGTTTTTCTTTTTTTTCATATTTAAATAAATACCAAATTTGTGAAAGAGCCACTGGAGAGCAAGTGATGCTAAAAATACACGTCTATTGCAGTACAAACGTATTTGTGAATATATCGTAAGATAGTTTGAAACTGTTACTCAAGCGAAGCTGTTACTTTTAAAAAACAGACCGCCGTACATGCAGTCTGGCAGTATGACCAGATACCGCCTGTTGCCTGACCACTAGTTTATTTGACCAGACTGGAAAGTGACATTCGAACCTTGACGAAGCCCACTCATGAAGTAAATCCCTTACGAAAGGTTTGGTCTTATTAACCTTAACGAAGTTACCAGAGCATTTTGTCCCCAGACAGTATTCAAACATCGATTGTCGAAAAAAAAAAGAATTGACCCGATACCGCCAGTCACCTGAGCACTCGTTTATCCGACCAGAGAGGAAAGTGTCAAACGAACGACGGACTTACGAACCTAAACGAAGCTTCCGAAAATTTGAAAAATTGACTGCCGGAAATGCAGCCTGACAGTATTTCAGGCACAGATCATCGAAATAAATAGAGTTTACCAGATACCGACTGTCGTCAAATCACTAGTTTATCCGACCAGAGAGGAAAGTGTCAAACGAACGGAGTGAGTAAATCAAAGTGAATGAATATTTTCGCAACGATATTTTGAGAAATAGACTGCCAGAAATGCAGCTTGGCAGTATTTCAGACACTGGTCGTCGAGCCGACAGAGTGAGTAAATCAAAGTGAATGAATATTCTCGCCGCGTTGATCCTACACCTCAAAACTTTGAGGATCGTAAAAAGCACTTCTTAAGTGGTTCAAGTGTTATTGTTTATCCTAGTTTTACAACAGGATGGGTTCGCTAAGAAATCACTCAGACTCTACATCATGCAAGTTTATGACCGAGTGGGAATGTGGGATTTAATCACCGTAGAAGGTATTGATTATCGAAACATATCACAAATATTTTTTTTAAAACTATTGGGGGTGGGGGCTGACCAGATTTATGTGAGCGCCCCCCCCCCCACTTTGGTGAACGCTCTGTGCTAATAAACTTAACATGGGTGGGTGCAGCGTGTCCTTATCATTACAGACGTTGTATTTTCGGTCTGGAATACAAATTACTTTTATGTCGAATATATAACCTATTTATGTAATAAAATATATTTGATGATGTTGGCGACTAGCAATTATGTTATTATACACAAGCTATCAATGTTTATATTTAGAATTCCTTCACATTTATTTTTCTATTATTATTTGTTTTAGATTATTTGTTTTATTTGAACAAAAATGCTTTATCCATGCTGATTTTAAATCAGTTCTTCGTTAGTACTAAGCGAACTAACAATCAAATTGATCGAATAATCTGTAAAATCTATGACATCAATAAACGATTCCACATTTGGTCATCTTTGACCCAATCTATAATATGTCTTATTTTCATTATACAATGATAGTTTGATTTGTACCCACAACTTGACATACTGTCAAATAATGTCATATTCTAATACTGAATGTAATTGTTGCTTCTATGAATATCATTGGCTTCACATTTGGCCAGCTGAAGGCTTCGTGTTTATTTTCATTTGACAGAGATGAAGTTGGTTTGGGATGAGATGCCGGGGGACCTCGCTCTCGATAAAATATCAATCAGCGCATTCTGGCAAGTTCACATTCTAATAAATTGAAACGTTAGTAAAACCCCATGCCAGCCAAACAAAGTAATTTACCCGTGTCAACTGCATATAATAGATAACAAAAGCTGTATATTATTTTGACATATGTTGTAGAAGATACGTAGATGTAGACTAAGGGTATCAACAAGTTAGTAGATGTTTCTAACCCTTTGAGAGACTTTTTTTATGGCCCAAGACGTCTATTGTGACGTAAAGTCTAATGTGTTTTCGTTCGCTTTCGCAATTTCAATCAACTGATCATTTCAACCCAATTTTCGCTCGAATCCTCAGATGATTCGGGGTTAATTTTTCTTGTCTGTGTCCACAGCTATAAATATACCATTTGTTTTCCTGTTAAGATTTCTTATTTAAAGCTTTCAGATTTAACTGTCTACCTATACCCGTATATATTTTCATTCGACTGAACGATTATAAAGTATTAAAATTGTCAATTATTGTTTGCATGCTGTTTGATTTTTCCACGTCCACAATTTTGTTTAAACGTCTGTCCGTCGTTGGCCTATCATATTTGTTCGGATTTCACGAACTCCAGGTTAGGAAACTGTGAACTAATTAATATTCCAAATATTTAAGAGATATATTTGTGTAAATCGTGGGTGTCTTATTCAATATTGGAATACCTAGGTATGATGAATCTATAATTCTTCTGACATTCAATCACCTTTCCCGTGAATCAGTTTTAAACAAATGTGGCTACTTTCTCTGAGTACCGCATAAATTTAAGCTTGACACATTATCAAAGTAATATTACTACTAGTATAGCCTACAGCTTGATAGCCATTACTCTTGATGATCGAGGTATGAAAGCTCACTAAGTCGTGCTAATTAAATGCAAGATCTGTAGAAAAAAAGATGAATCTGTATCAAAGTATTGACTGAAGTGACCTGATGCTAATATCTGTTGACATTATGATCATCTGGCCATCCGCACAATTTACAAGTTTCCGATTAATCCGTCTTCTAGCTAATTAACTGGTATTTTCTGCTTCGTCTCCGGTTTCGGCCAAGTTCTAAGTGATTCAGCGAACATGCAATAGGATTTTTTTCTTTGGTCTAGTAAGATCAGTTACAATTCAATAGAAATTAATCAATAATTACTAGAATTTCACATGTTTAAGATGCCGTAACCTCGTAATAGTTACTTGTCATTTTTTATGATCTGTTCATGAATAAGGTCTGTGAATCATAAAGATATTAATTAAAGTATAGATACACGACTGATCAAGCGTGAATAAAGGCATACATTAGTATTAAAGAATCCCATTAATCATATTTCCTCCTATGCAAAAATGTTTTTTCCAATTTCTTATCCGTTAACCTACACTTTCTATAATGGGGAAGTCGCATACGTAATTGAAGGCTTATAGCCATGCAGAAGTTTGACTAAGAAGTTATCTCTCAAAAAAGTTAAATTTTTAATTTCTCTGTATTAAAATATGTATAAGGCCCGTTAAATCCTAAACACGTATAATGACATTTAAAATAATACGTATATAATTAGTCTTGAAGCTACTCTAACATTTCAGTAATTGCGGCAACAATTCTTCTCGGCATCTGCAGTTCAAGTAGATTCAAACTATTCTTATTTAAAACATTTATCTTCTTTTCTATTGAAGGTATGTAAAACTCCAGAATGTATAGAAACAGCGGCCAGTATATTAGGTCGTATGGTACCAAACGCTGATCCCTGCCAGGTAAGTCTTTATACGTCTACATGTCTATCTTTTTACTATTAAACATGAATATGTGTCGATAAAAATTAGGAATGGTTCAAGGTTACAAGACTTTGCACGTCCTAAAGATAATTAATAGTAATCCCCCAAATCTTGTTCTAGTGTCGCCATGGATGATTGTTCGATTTCCCTAACTGTTGATTTGATTTCCGATAAACCCTTAATACGACTACCCACAAACAATACCAATGGTGATATATTTTCCCAAATCAAATGTTAGGAAAAACCACCATTCATCGCCGCCTGAGAATAGGTTTTGAGATAAACTATTTACCCTTGATTCGACCCTTGTGTTTTTATTAGCTTGCGTCGTAAAGGGCAAGTATCTGTAGCGCCAATGCAGATAAGCGCCCCCGGACAAACCTACCCTTTTCAGTAAACCTGGTACAATTTTCGATTATGGAAATTATCGCATATTTATTTTTACCTCATACCCGTCACTGAGTATTTGGATGATTTGTAAGAATCGATTTTGCTTCACTTTGTTTTATCTACATAATAAGAAAGTAGTTGATGTTAGAATTTTTTCGATTAATCGCACCGGCCATGTGTTAGTTATCAGTTAATATGGAATTGATCTACCTTCAAATTAACATTCATAACCTTTATGTATTATGTACCACGTAGTTCATTTATTTATGCACTTCATTTTGATCAACCCCAAATGTACTATCGAACAAAAGTACAAATATAAAATAATTGTAAACGTATTTGGAGTTCTCCGTTCGTCAGACTTGATTAGGCCTATTTTTGCATAGTAATTGGTATTTCAGTTTAAATAATAGCCGAATCAAGAAATCTCTTGTCTGGGTGGTGATTCATGAAATTTCTACCATTAAGTCTAGAATCTTGACAGACAAAAATTCAAACATTTGTTCAGTCTGATATTAAGAACATATTAAAGAATTGACCAAATGAGATTCCAACCAATTTTAAGATTTCATTATTTCTTTTTGGTTTGGAACTAACTCTAAATTAAGAAAATGCTACACAACGAGGCGACGGCGATGATGCGTCTGAAAACTTGTATCGATGGAGTATAACCAATCAACATCTAACTTTGGCATCTGTCTGTCTATATACCGGATAGCACTCTTCAAATATATACACCCATAAACAGAGCACGGTTCCTTCAATTCTCAATCTCCTACATCCTTAACTGAGAAAAAAATATTAATTTTTCAACGGCAGCAAACTGTCTAATGAAATCATGTCTCGCGCCATTTCTTTCCCGGTCTGCTGTAAATTGTGTGATGTATTGGTGTCATTATTGAACACAAGGCATCTGCATTACTATTATTACATCTTACTGCTAAATACAGCCATGATATACGTATTCGTATGTAAATATTACATTGTCCCTTTTCTATAGCTAACATGGACGTGCAATATATCATTACATAATGTTAATATTGACCGTGCAGTGAGGCTTGAAGACTCACTTTAGCTTGTAACGACGTATTTGATATCGCTGTATTGACTTGTAAGATCGTAAAACCTGATTAAATGTTCATGTATGTTCTCAAGATGGCGCCTGGAACACACATTACCATTGTAGATAACCATATTTAACTAATATAATATTCTCTATTTTATCATCATAGTACACACGCACGCCTTGTTTGCTATTCCTCCAGTTTTTCGAACCTACCCATCGAGATACTGCTTTCTACATTTTCTCTTGCATTCAGTCATCTTTTTCCCATGAATATAAAATCCGCTCAGCGACGATTTGTATTCCGATGTTTTAACGTTCTAATATTTTATCGCCAACGTCAGAAATTATAATTTAACCGTCGTTGCTTGGATGATTTATAAAAGATGGATATCTGAAATACCAATTTGTACTTAGCACCTTTAGGTTAAGGATGGTGGGTGATACAACAATTGTTTTCAGGTTTATTGATTTCACGGAATACGGTAAAAAAAAAATTATTATTGCCCTAAGCTATGGAGAGAATATACGGTCCTGGTTGAGGCATAAGTTAAACAAACTACAGCGTATTCTGAGGAAACAGGTACACTGCTAATTTAAGCGAATTGATCCTATATAGTATTGGATTACCTTTTCTTTAATTACTATATACTTCCACACAAAGTATGTAATAGCTTTATTCACTGTTAAAATTTGTCACAAACGTCCTTTATAGAACCACCATGTCTAAATTCTGCGTAACCGTGGTTCTCAAAACAACTGATTAGCTTCTACCATGTCGCTTTGACTTCAGAATCTAAATTTAGTAAAAGGTGTCGTGACTTTGGGAGGATATGCTTAGTCTCTGTACAATAAAGATACCACTTCTTATTTATTTGGGAAGTTCAAGCGGCTAGCGATTTATGTTTGTTCTAGTGACGTCACATATTGGCCATTGAACGTTACCTCAGAAAATAAAACACATGTTGGAAAGTATCCAGTCATAATAGCATAAATTTGACCATTGTTCTTCAAATTCTTTCAACAGCATGAACAATTTCACTTTAATCGATCTTTCCGTTTAATTCTGATAATTCTAAGTCAAAGCTGGTGTCAAGACAATTAACAGGCTTATAGAGGAAGCATAGGGGATTCCATTCTCAGAAGGAATTAGTGAAAATAAATAAATTACGTTTATACACTACAACAATATGTCGAAAATCTGGTTAGAAGAAAACCACAAGGGAATTATTCCAGATGAAATGAATTTAAACGGATTGTCACTTTGATTAAGGGATTAGCAGTTAAAATTATCATCTTGGAAATATTAATTATCAGTAATAGAATCAACTAGAATGACCATCTTCTTGCCATATATCATATTGATTTATAGCAGCCATTCTTTCCTTCTCCATATATCTCATTCTGACCAAAAGAAAGTTTATTGTATGTCTTCCTCTGTATATCAACCTAAATCTAATTTACAATACCCCCAGGAACGACATTTAATTCAGAACGCCGTATATAAAGTATATCAGAAGTTTTTATCACTTCATGTACTGTGATATGAGGCCATATAAACAGCATAAACTGGAAGTCAGAATTCTTGCAACTCAATTGTGCCATTCTCTGAAACAACAGATTCATCCGATAACAATATCTTAATCGATGCAACACGGACAGTGTATTTTTACAGTTTGGCTGAAATACGTTGATCGAAATGTTAACTATAATTTGAGGTGTTAAACATCTTCTCTGAACATTCATGGACTTTGTAGTTACTGAATCAATTTCGCAAATCGCTATTTTATTGTTTCGCAATACCATTTTCGTCAAGGAACTGTAACGCTACATAATACGAATCCTGTTTTTGTTTAAGAATTTTATCGGTTGGCAGAAAGGTATAGTTAAAATATCAAGTTATCTAATGTGCTGGGTACTCGTCTACGAAAAAAGTTAGTTCTACATGTTAATTAAAGAACTGTCGTTTTTGTCCTATTGAGCATCTTAAAATAATGTAGACGCGTGTTTGTTTTTTATTTCTCATCAGTAATAACTCTAGCAAAACATTATATGACTGAGACGTTCGCTATTAATTATTGTTGCAGATTCAGAACCTACCGTTCGATAATTTAGTCATTATCAGCTTATACGTTGAAAAATAGTGGGAACAAAAACGTAAAAAAGTGTGAAGGGTTTTATAGTATTACGCTATAAGCGATAGATATTCCAAATGTCGAATTCATATTAGGAAGTAAAAACTTCAACAGAAGGCGTATACCGTTACTTTCCGGATCTCTCATTTTTTTTAAAGCATGATATTACTAGTTTTTATACGCCCACATTGAAATGTGGACGTATATTGCCGTCGCCCCGCCCGTCCGTCCTCGCCAAAAGTTATCATCAGATTGTTTTAAAATTGATAGAGAGAGAGGGGGAGACAAAGACAGAGAGAGAGAGAGAAAAATGGGGTTTAACGTCGTCTCGACACAAACTAGGTCATTTCGGGACTAACATTTGGTTTAAATTTAATTAAATAATTCGCTTGCGCGTAGGGGTCTTTAGCAGTGGGAGGACCCGGAGAAAACCCACGAGGTTGGACAGGCGACCTACTCCTTGTCATGTACAACCGGGGATTCGAAACCACGCCAGTTGACTCAATGACTTATGATACAGCGCGCACGTGCTAACCATTCGGGCATCCAACCCCCCTAAAAATGATAGTGAAGCCTATTTAATTTCAATAATTTCTGTTAATTGCTTCTAGATTTATGGCCCTTGTTTCACTTTGTTGCACCTTGTGAACGCTCTAACATCAAAGGTTATCTGCCGATCTGTATGAAATTTATATGCGTCATTTAAATTAGTAAAATGAAGAATCCTATTGAATTTCAGCAATTTCCGTGTATAACGTCTAGAGTTATGGCCCTTGTTACACTTTGTTGAACCTTGTTGAACATTGTGAAAGCTCTAACGCCAAAAGTTATCATGAAATTTAAATGCATCATTTAGATTAGTAAAGTTCAGCAATTTACATTAATTACGTCTAGAGTTATGGATCTCGTTTCACTTTGTTCAACCTTGTTAATGCTCGATTGATGAAAGTGATTAACCGTTCTGTATGAAATTTATATTCATTATTTAAATCTTTGTCAAGCGACAAAGATTATAATCTTATCTGTAAGAGATGTTCTTGTAAATGCCCCTAATTACCCACAAAAGAATAAATATGCGACAACCCTTGTCGACCCCGGACGATTTAGCTGCTGTGGGCGTATGTTTCGTTGCCCGGCAACCTATCTTTAAAGTATAATAGAACTCTTTATCAGTGGACTTTTTACCCCCGGATGACTTTCGTTTTTACTCATCAATTATTTAATTTCCATACCTAGTCAGTAAATGCTAACAAACGTTAATTAGTTGCCATACAGATCATCGGCATAGTATCATTCTTCTATACAAAGAAGCACATTTCCGGATAGCTAAAAGTCAAACTTGGTAGCTTCCTCTCAAGTGAGGTCGTCCATTCACGCGAAATCCACAACTGATTGCTTCATCAATTAAGGGCTCTTCATTCGTCAATTTGACATATTAAGGTATACTTGACTGCTGAAGGTATAGAACATTTGCCAAATAACACAATTATAAAGGACAGAAGGTCTGTCGTTACAAGCACAGACGAGGAAAGTCGGCCCGCTTGATTAGTTTCTGAAGAAAGAGATTTACCGTTATCTTTCCATATCAGATTAGCTGACCCTTAAAGTTTCGTAAACGAGACTGACCAAAATAATTTGCTGCATACAAAAGGCGACTGATTGAAAGGTGAAAGAAATCGTGGCTAGCCTGATCAATGCTGGTTGATTATCGGTTCTTCTCTTTACCTTGTTAGATTTGTTTCCCGCTTAATTAACGACTAAATACATTATCACACGAGATCTTGACACGACAACCTGGCTTATTCAATAACCCAGAGCTCGCTCTTCTCTTGCGTTGAGAAAATATGTCTTACGCATAGCCAGAACGACAACCATTAAATCCGATGCGTCAAAGCCAGTCGTAATGGAATGGTAATCTCGGTAAATGTGTTTTTCTTCTCGTAAATAACCGGGATTAATGCGACGACAACCCAGACGATCAGAGATTCCTATTTTCAACAGTCGATTGGGTCATAGACGAGGTTTAAGAACCATACAATAATTCTTGTGGATTATGAGATTAACTATATAAAATACCCACAATGGATAGGGGAACGACATCATAAAAACTCCGAACCACGGAATGCAACATGAGCTTGTTATCCATTCAAGACATCATAAACGCCATCATGGTTATGGTAATATTTGAAGCGACCAGACTGTATTCATCATTGGTCTGTTCACTTAATCATTTTCTTTGTTATATAAAATACAGGCTTATTTTAGGCGTCAATTTACGGGGTTATTCACTTTTACTTCAGCTATGGGAACAGAAATAATTGGCGAACGACAGAGCATGTTGGCGTTTGATCAACTAGCCTGATACGAGGCGATATAAATGTAAATGTAATTGTATGATGGGTGTTCGGAGGGTTCATTAGAGTGTATCATAATCTTATAACTTAATTTACTTTGACATTTAAAATTTTGGTCTTAGCGTGGGAGATCATTGCTATTTTTCAAAGCCGTTTCTCAATTAAAGGGGCTTATCAAACTGTATGATGGGATGAAACGCGGAAATCCATATGTGTACATTTTGCACGTGTCCCGAGCATTGCACATGATCGTAAAATAACTGAATTCAACATCTGTGTAGTTCCAAAACACAGGCACTTGAAGGGATTAAAATAAACTTCTTACTACTGCTTGACTATGTATTATAGATAGTCAAGCAGTAGTAAGAAGTTTATTTTAATCCCTTCAAGTGTCTGTGTTCCAAAACGACCAAAGTCTAAATTGTGTTAACAAGAGGTCGAAGCCTCAATGCGACCCTGTTTCTTATAATTAGACTTAATGAAAGTCTGGACACAAAAGGCATCTTTAGATAATAGTATAAACCAGTAAAACAAAACATGTAGATATAGATACCAATTGATGTGCGTTGTTCGTGGATAAAATTTAAATATCCAACAATCTTACAGAAAAATAATGTGGCGGTATTGAAAGAACGGAAAGAACTGTTATATTTGTTTACGTCTGACGGGAACGCAGCTGTATATTTGTGTCATACTAGAATACAGCCATTGTACAATCTCTATTGTCCCCAAAAACTTTAAATGTCAACTTTTAAATGTACTAACGCGTTTCTAAAATGAAATTTCTGCAAAACGTATACAATATTTAAAGGTCACTTGAAAGTATTTGGAAGCCAGACTTTTAATGTGATAAGTTCAATTTCGTAGAAGAGCATTGTTAACACTTTTAAAACTATTACCTACAGAGACCTTTATTTTATATTTGATTTAAAAATTATAACTTTTACAAATAAGATCATGCCTCAGGGCAGACTATTTTCGTCACATCCGCACACAATTCTTCTTCATGCACGGTGGGGTTTTCATATAGACATTAAGGAAGAACTCGTGTCAAGGCTCGAGGAATAACATCTTTCGCCCCTGCCATTAATTTGTAAGCGAATAGATTTCTTTTCTTTTTATTAATATCAATAATGAACGATGCAGTAGAATAAAGCATCGCTAGGCCTTAATTGTTTGTGTACGACCACATATAAGTATTTTTGACATAGCAAAATTCACTATCTTAAACCGTTTATACCCATGTATGCATTTGTATATTTGCACTATTATGGATGGAAGGTGGTTTGGATGGCCGAATGGTTAACGCATGCGCGTTGGACTATAAGGTCTGTCATTGAGTCAAGTGGTGTGGTTTCGATTTCTCGATTGTAGGTGCTAAGGAGTAGGCTCGCCTCGTGGGTTTTCTCCGATTCCTCCGGTTTCCTCCCTCTGCTAAAGACCCCTGCGCGCAAGCGAATTATTGAACAATTTTAGTCCCGAAATGACTTAGCTTGTGTCGAGTGTACGTTAAACCCTATTTCTCCCTCTGTCTTGCTATAGATGGATGAGTTGCGTGTTCCAGCACAATTCAATTACACACCTACTTTTTGATTTCCGGTGTTGGTTTTGTTGGTGGTTTATTTAGAATCAAAGACATTATGTGAATCACATACCACATAATTGCAATACTAATTGTTCTGGAAAATTTGTTTATATTGTTTAATTGATATTCTATGTTTTTGCTTGATTTATTCCTGATAGTTTGTATCTGTTGGATAACTGTATCGGCAAATAAAGTAAATTCTAATCATGCTTCACGCTATCAGTAAAGTAAATATCCAGCCAGCATTCTTTAATTAAGGGGACCGGTGTCATCGAGAGGTAAGGCATCTCGACCTTCGATGGGGAGTTCCGAGGTGTATGCCTGTAAGGGTGGCGATGAAACGCCGAAAGTTTTCAATTTAAGCTTGGCTCTTTCTTGTCAACGGTATATGTCATATGGTGCTTGCTAGAAATGGGCTAGTGCCTAATTTGACGGACAGTATGAAACGTCGAGGTTCACTGATTTAATCGTGCGTGGCCTGTACCAGTGAAAGTAAGAATTGTACTAATAGTAGACAGAAACACAAATGTCAGGGCAAGTTGTGTCTCCCTAACTTTAAAGATGCATTATGTAAGAGCTAAATCTGCGTATTGCGTTTTATTTTTCTGGTTTTAAATCTTACATATCTTAAGATATTTTTAGAGATTTATTCACATGCCAAGCCTATAATCAACTATCTAGACTATCGGTAGGCTGCGATATAGATGGATTTAAAGACCCACGAGTTTTAAAAATGTAACGATAAACTGGATAATCGATACTTAGTCTCAGTTGTCAAGAACCGTTGCTACGATATTAAACTATGTACGCTACACCTGTCATAACCTCCCCCAGAATAAAGTAATTTGAATGAAAGTTTCGATATATTTATTTTTCATTGTCTAAATTTGAACTATTATAGCAACGATGGCCAACTCTTTATCTAAATCTTACATTATGCATCTTTAATGAGCATAGTAAATATAATATGGTAGTCTCAAAATGACATGTTTACGAGACGGTACAGTCCTTCTTCCTGATTTACTTATTTTATAATTTATATAAATATTCCTTTTTCAGGATTTTAATCGTTTTGCGTGCGGTGGTTTCGCTACTAAAGCTTCATTATCCTGGCATCGAACTCGTTTAAAAGAGAACCCTGAACAAATACTGGATTCGTATGCTTCTTATCTTATAGGTGAGTACAATTTATTTTAGTTATTGTCTTATAGGTGAGCCCAATTGTTTCAATTATTGTCTCCATTGACACACAGGGGTGTGGCCAAGAAGGGAAAATTTTATTATTATATATCATTGATATTTGGAGATGGGAATTACATTTTATTGGAAGAGGTGGAGGAAAACCTGCTTAAACACCTATAAATAAATCGAAATATTAAAATACATCGGTTCCAAGACAGTATTCTAGTTTATAAGAGACACGAGGCTCGAAATACTGTTAACAAAAGGGATGTCATGTTGATGCTAAACCAATACAGGAGAAATTTGGGACTGCGCATGTCACCATTCTAAATTTGACACACATGGTTACTTCCACGTGATGCTGCTTGCCTTTATAAAGGCAGCTTTATAATTAATGCAGTCTATAATTAACACAATTAAAATATGACAGCAATCCTTAAACATACATTATGCAAGAGCTAAATCTGTCTATTGTAGGTCTTTCTTTAGGCCTGAAATGTTATCTAAATTACTACTTAGACATTACTTAACCTGTCCATGCCATAATCAACTCTAGATGACATCGCTAGCCTGGATCTTTAGTGGATTATGAGCCGATTTACTGCATAATTCTCCTTCACGATTTAACGATTAAATGGATAATCGAGACTATGCTGTTTATCGTACTGAATTTAGTATTGATGACCGAGGCTAGGCGGAAATTTCAATCGCTTAGTTCTCGGTTCATAGTGGATCAATTTGAATGAAATTTTCAGCAAATTGCCTTTACATTATCTAGTTTTTAACTATTATAGTGAGAACTGCCAACTCGTTAATGTATCTTTAAGAAAGCTAACTGGGGCAAATTTGAAATATTTAAAATATACCTTTGATAAAATACAATGTATGTGTTCGCGTCTAAGGTTTAAAAATCGCGTAGATCCGATGTGAATAAATAAGTGCGTGGGCTAAGGACAGAGTCGAATTCTGGGCCGCTGCCTTGGAGATTGCTAATTGATGTATCTTATACATTTATATTTCCATTGTGAATATATTTTAACACGCAGGGTAGTACACAGATTATTTATTCATAATTTCACGGTAAAACACTGTCATTAATTTTGAAATAATAGTAGAATAGTGTTTTCGCACTGGATTCTTGATTTTGAGTCATATGTTTCTCCACTATCCATCAATCAATTATATTTATGACAAGCTTGGTCACTGACCGATAAACAACGTGAAATCGCCATCTTGGCTATCATGAGCAAGTTATAAACATAGCGTACAAAGAAAATGGGGTTTAACGTCCTACTGCCATACAGTGAGCTATGAGGGAAATTTTTCCCGGGCAGCGGCACCATGGTCTACTCTTATATCGAATTCCTACTGCCAAGGGATCTTTTACGTGCACGTCAATATCCTCGGTTTTTCGTCACATTCAAACGACTAGACAGCTATCCTTGTCAGACCCTCCATCTTGCACCACTGACTAGAGGAAACCACGCCTGGAAATCCCGATGAACTTTCTCGTCCAATGCAGGGCTCGAACACGCGACCTCCAGGCTAGCGAGCCAGCGTCTTACCCACTTAGTCACCGTGGCTCCCCAACATGGCGGACAGACATGCCTTTGTCACTTAAGCTTCTTAGGGACTTATTTATGTTGTGGCTACTGGTTTATTACAAATTAGTTTGGCACCTTCAAACTCATGGGTACAATATAGACAATGTTTATATTATGACAAAAACTGTATTAGGAAGTTATTATGTGATAAGCAAACACCTGAACTTTTTTGAGCGGGTTTCACATTGCTTAGTGCGGATGCAAAGACTGGGCCCATAAAAAGTATATTAGCTCACCAACATGGCCTGTCATGCGGTGAACAAAACATTAGATGGGAGGGAGGGACAACCAACAACAACTACTTTGATGGAGTCTGAAGTATTGAAGCAATTACAATAAATGGTATTCAAAAGCGTGCACACAAAACAACCAACCAGAAAAAAAAGATAAAGAAAAAAGAAAAAAAGAAAAGAGAAAGAAAGGGGGGGGGGAGAAAAGAAGGAAGGAGAGGACAGGAAAAGGTTTTTGTTTTTGACACTGAAGAGAATTCTCAAATTCATCTTATGATAGTGCTCCTAGGTCATTCTGTTATCTAATTGTATTATGAAATCAAAAATTTGCCTTCTTCTGCTTTGGTCTGAAATGCTTGGAAAATGGGTTTGCGGTTGTCAATTTTCAAAATTTTCAGGGGGGGGGGGGGGAGGAACCTCATAGTGCGCTCGCGAACCTTTAGCGCGCTCGTGTCGCGCCTTCGGCGCGTACTTGTGTGGGCCTTGGTCAATGACCCGACAGCTGGGCACTGAACACGGCGTATTCGAGTTCCACCAGGTCGTACAACAAATACAAAGTCCTTAAACGATTCGTATCAAAATACGTCTCCTCCATTGCTTTTCATTGATGGCAATAGCCGCAATCGTTTTGGCCAATGTGTATCATCGAATAACCAATATGGCATTATAAGTTTCCATAAGAAAATAAATATAAAACGTTAGATAGTATCATGTTCCAAATAACCCTAGAATCTAGGCGGTTTTTTTTAAATCGAAAACTCAAGCGTATAGCATCCACCCCGGAAAGAGTACTGTCAATACTTCGTTGAGCAAACTTTGAGGACACTCTAGATTTGTCAATTCTCTTGACTAATCCCAGCCCACAGTATGTCTCATTGCTTCCTACCACGTTCTAAAATGATTAATCCGATAATTGGAATTAAACCACGTGGCTCTCAGCAAACGAAACTACCCTTCGAAGTGGCAAATAAACGTAGGTACGTGAAGATTCGAAATGAAAGGACGGTCAGCAGTCTGATTATAATACAGATCCATATTTCGTTTCTTTTTTGTATACTTTCGAAGACCTCCACAACATGAAGGTCTGGCCGGTTGTAATGGAAGGTCGCGTCAGGGGGTCATACGACTTTTGACCCTTTAATACCATAATTCATTTAACCAATCAGCGTCGGTGTTCCTATTTGCTATTCGGAAATACCAAAAGTTCCGTGCACTCGACTCAACAGACCATTAAATTGATTTGCTAATCAACGATTAGACCGGAGAACATTGCTTGCATTCCCTGATTCTAGGTCGGATAGGTGGTGGGGACTCGTGTCCGGCTGACAGCCAAACCTAAATCTACCTACCTTATTAATTAAGACTCCAGCATTTATAGCATTCATTTCTAATACCTGGGGCTTCTCCTTTGGATGAATTTCCCGATGTGGCTTCTTTTGGTACGTTCCTTAGCCAAACCTAAATCTACCTACCTTATTAATTAAGACCCTAGCATTTATAGCATTCATTTCTTATACCCGGGGCTTCTCCTTTGGATGAATTTCACATTATGGCCTCTTCTGGCACGTTCCTTAGGAAACACATGTTTACGATATCACCCTTTGTGGAAGTGGACGTAAAACTCCAGGAACTAACGACCGAACCCCACATCATCCAGAACGCAGGTTATTTAATAATTTATCTAGTGCTCTCGCTTGGTGCTGTGGGCGCCCTTGACTTCTACAAAGGGATGTATAATTATGGTTTAAATCAACACTCTTGTACCCTAGCTTGCGACAATGTTAATATTTAAAACAAATCGTTCGTAAATGGTTTTCGTATTATTTACTATTACAGATGTGTTATCGGAATCCTACCTACCTACAGATAATCTCATAACCAGTAACTTTAAAACTTTATTTAGATCATGTCTTCTAGATACGGAACTAGGAACAAGAAAGGCCTGTAAGTATATCTAGATTATACACTATGACATTTATATATCTTAAGAAGAACAAGTGTCAGCTAATGAAACATATTTGTTATTTTTCTCAGAAGGAAGTCGATTTGGAAGCTAAACAAATGACATTTAATGTGCACTAAAAGCATGACCTAATATCATCTCATATGATTTGTATACGTTTTATCCACACGAATAGATTTTTGCAAACCTTAAATAACATATAATTAATTTCTCTGGATTGACAAATACTTCTGATATTTCCATTCACATTTCAGAGAATTTATACTTTGGAATCTATTGAAAATAAACATTAACTTCTAGCTTCAAACACACAACAAAATTTATATGGACAACTGTGTATAAACCAGTGATTGTTTTCCATATATATTCTGTTGTGTTTTTTAATGTCCTCAATCGCTAAATGCCAGTCAAGGATTAACTTCTAGCTTCATTTTGTAAACGCGCCTCACATTTGGATCCGAATAATGTGATTGAAGTTATTAATAATTGGTTTAGAATTATTATTAATGCGATTGATGTTATTATGAATGTGATTGGTGTTATTATTAATGTGACTGATTTTATTATTAATTTGATTTATGTTGTAACTCATTGAAGTGAATTTGATTAAAATTATGAATAATTTGATTTGAATGTATGATTAAATTCTGATTAATTTGATTGAAATTAGTATTACTCAGATTGAAATTATTATTAATCTGATTAAAATTATTATAAACCTGATTAAAATTATTATTAACCTGATTAAAATTATTATTAATCTGATTAAAATTATTATTAACCTGATTAAAATTATTATTAACCTGATTAAAATTATTATTAATCTGATTAAAATTATTATTAATCTGATTAAAATTATTATTAATCTGATTTATATTATAAAGAATATTATGAATTTGTTTGAAATCATTATGAATTTGCCATTTTAATGAATTTGAATGGAATTATTTTGAATTAGATTGAAATTATCATGAATTTTATTGGAATTATCATGAATTTTATTGAAATTATTATGAATTTTATTGAAATTATTATAAATTTTATTGAAATTATTATAAATTTTATTTAAATTATTAATTTGTTTCAGTTTTAGATATAGTTGATGATTTAGGTGGTGTTTTTCTCTCCTCAATACAGAAAGATACAGATTTTGATTTAACAACATTACTAGCCAACGTTACCAGATTATATGGTGCATCACCTTTCTTTAAGATTATTATCCATGGAGGAGGGAAATTTTCGGTAATCTGTTTTCACATATGTCTTAAGAAATCGGTTCAATTAGACTCTACTAGAATGGGTACATTTATTCTAGTGTAAATGAACAAAAGGGGAAAGGTGTGTGAATTGCTATTTCTTGTTGTGGATTCAACTGATATTCCAGTAACGTTCAAACGGGGCATAGAAACAAATTGACGGGATAGTGGACGACACAAATTATATTCTGGCGGCGTTCAGAAAGGACGTAGAACTAAATTGGTCGAAGTTAATTTACAGTACTAGTTGGCTAGTAGACATATTGCTCCATGTCGCTAATCAATTGTAGTTATTGGTACATGTGGCAAATCTACTGGTGGTCATCCATGGGTCACACAATAGCACCGAGAAGATTGTACATATAGGTAAATGTCCACACTGACCGATAATGTCCGATAAACAGTCAACAATTAAATTAGTGTTTGTCCAGTTCTAATTATTAGTTGGTCAGTTTGTGAGTGATTAGTTTTCTAATGTGAAGGGCAAATCGCCTGATACGTTGTACTGATCAATTCGTTTTCCCTCTTGAATGAGAAGAATATTGGAAGAATATTGGACTAAAACAAAAATTAAAGTACGGTACGATAAAACAAGATCTTGTACCATCGACCCTGATATTACTGGGATAATACTTACATAGATATTCTCTTCCGAAGTATAGGTTCCATCTTTGGTTCCCATTACAGATGGTGTTTATCAGGATTTTAGGAAGGGGGTACATGAAATGTCATCTATCAATATTGGGACGGTCACACGGCTAATCTTTATCGCACCCCGTCTCGTCGTGTGTTGGTTTCAAATCAGACACGCGTAGATACAGACATTTAAGCAGAAATGCATAATACGTGTTATTAAATCAATATACGTAACTATATTTCTTCAATGCAATTCAATTTTGTTTCAGATTTTTTTTTATCAAAGATTTTGTAGAAGACGAAGCATTTCGTATCTCCTTAACTAGGTTGAGGAATACATTTTATGTGTGGTGGGACATACTTGATTTATACGCAGCTCAATTCGAATCTATGCTCCATAAGATTGGTGCAGATCAAATTAGACCCTAAAGGCAATCTACGTAAATATTTTAATAGAAGTCTGGGTTTTTTGTCAGCGTTATCTATGTCAGTGAAATAACACAGAATTAATAAATCATTTTCTCCAAGACGGGTCACTTGATAGCTTCGTTCACTAAAATATTACAAATTAAATAGATAAATGCTATTTTCAGAAATATTTGTTCTTAAAATAGTGATTCTAACTTATCTTGTGAAATATGTTATGCATTCATAGGTCTCGAAGGAACCCTATTTCAGAGCAGAGGTCAACATTGGTACAGGAAAATATTAACGAATAAAGAATATACCTTAATCATTTTGACCTTTGTAGTTAATAATAGTTTTAACATTGATTAGCAGTGTATAATGATAAAATGTTGAGCTACAACTTATAGTTCTACTAACGACTAAACCCACTACATCGATATTAAAAAAATAGGCCAAACACAAGTAGCTAAAAAAACCTCGTTGATACGATTTCCGATTTCCATGCAAATAATATTCAATAACAAACGTACCCTAACCATCATTCACATTTGCATTCAATATTTTTGTGGCTTGCTCAAGTATCATTATTGTGAATTGAAATCGACCATACGGGTAGTGGCCATTCATGATTCATTATGGTTAAAATGGTAACATTACCATTCGAAATCTGGGCATTGCTGTGGATTAATGTTGACATTGTCTTCATAGAAAATGATATTATAGTTATGGTACGGGCAATTGTTAATATTAAACCTTGTAGCGATACATTTCCCCTTAATAAAAAATGAAACCGCTGATTGACAAATAACCACCTCTCTTTTCAAAGGTGACAAAAAATTCTAAGCTAGTTTTAAAGTATCAAATTATGTTTTAGGTGGTGAATCGATTTTCTGATAGGCTGGTCAATTTGCTGCGGGATAGCTCCGACGATATCCCTAATTTCCGGTTCCTGTTGCCTAGTGAATATTACTATAGAACAGAAAAAGTTGAGGTATGTCATCCATTGATGTCTAAAGAGGGTTTTCAGCTCGATCGCGACTCCATATTAGACTAAATTCAATGACCAATAGAGCCTTCAATCCTCATTTCAGATCCGTTTAGATTTTCCTTTTTGGAGAAGTTAAGTTCATGGAAGCATGTTGAATGTCATTAAGTGATATTGGTTACCATTTCGGTCTCAACTCATTTATAAAACGGATGACATTTATTCAGTCACACAAGTTTCATATGATCCTTTATTCGTAAAGTAATTTATCTTGTATTTTCTCAAAAAGCTGACATTAAAATTTTTGCTTGAACATGAAAATAAAACCTTCCTTCACACGCACATATAAGGCTATTAAAAATTCAATGGCTTGGTAATTATTTTATATCACAAATTCTGGTTGTAGTTTTGCTGAAGTTGGTTTAAATACCGATAACGATAACATTTAATTCTTCTACTGCTGAAGGATATTGAAAGAAAAACTGAAGATCTAGAGTATGAATTTTGTATATTATTCAACCAAAACTAGTCCATTTTAAGTCTGTGAAAAAAGTATTGTTAAAGCGGGTTTAGGTGTCGGCAAATCTTTACTTGGCAAATATTATACCTTTTTGAATTTGTATGTTTTCCATAGGGGCTAGAATTTAAAAAAAATATTTTTCCTTTCACTTTCTTACTTACAGACGTTACAAACACAGAAAATTAATCTGCTTCGACGTCTTGTTGCCGAAGTTCCCCAGTCAGCGTCTTCCTCCATCGACAAAGTTTTAGATGAAGTTTTCAGCTTTGAAGATGAACTTCATATGGTAACAATCTTTTATTTATACACGTATATTTGAAAGCATCAATTGATGAATACAGACATAGGTACAATAAAAGAAATGTGGTTTCTTCAGAGTTAAATCAAAACGCCAGAAAGAGTGATGATTGTATTGTGGTGGGGAAGGTATTAAGTATTTAAGAAGGGTTATGTTTAAGACTGATAGATACAGTTAATTATTTGCTTCCGTTTTACCAGACGTGGCGTCCCGATCCATTTATAAAACACACATATATAGATACATGTTAAAGCGTGTATGAAATAGACAAAAAAAGGTTTCGCTTACAGCCTCTTTCTAATATACCCCAAGATGAATCCTGCCTTCTATTGTCTCAATATTTTATAGATTTTTCATACATCCTATTTTTGTATTTAATTGCCCTTCTTTATTATCGACTCAATTATTTTTAAATAACGTATACATGTATATTTTGTCAAAATCTGCCCAGAACAACACACAAATCACAAATTTCTAAATTCGGCAATTCTTCTAATAGCCCGATAAGAAGACTATTGGATGTGTTGTCAGTATTTTGGATTTATTGATACAACCTGTAAGGAATCTTTCCTCCAATCTGTGTCTTTCATCTGCGATAACAGTTAACGGCCATGGTTAAAACCGTTCTTTCAACAATGTTCAATCTTTTTGGGGGTAGCGTTGAGGGGGGGGGGGTCACAGTGGCTCAATGGGTAAGGCGCTGGATCACTTACCAGGAGCTCCGGGATCTGATCCTGGTGTTGGTCGAGGGAGTTTTCTCGAGATTATCCAGCGAGGTTTCTCCTTGTCAGTGGTGCGGGACGGAGAGCCTGGTAAGAAACAGCATCAAGTCGTTCGGATGGGACAGAAAACCGATGATCCGTGTAAACATTGGTGTGCACTTAAAGGGTTCCTTGACAGTCGGAATTCAATTGCATTCAGGCAAAAGTTCTCTCATAGCACACTGTATGCCCATCTGTAGCACCATGAGTCTTTCTGTCTGACGTGGAGAGCGGACGCGGAAACCGGTCGCCACATCTTACGTACGACCCATGCATCTTTTCTTACTACATATTTCTGTAGCCTTGTGATCGTCTAGAATTTGTCTCTAGCTGTCTTTACTTCTGCTTCACGTTGTGTATTTACTTCTTAATGGTTTTCTTAAGACGTTTGTCTTACCAGGAATAGTAATGCATAGTTCGCTTCTACATTTTATATAGCATATAACTGAATACAGGTATACAAGCATAATAGATAACAATACTAGCTAAAACCATTTCTCTACCCTAGCCAGCCTCGCGGCTGTCTAGGAACTCAGATGTAAGCCCTCTGGAACCTAATAGAAGTCTGACTTACAGGGTTCCACGGTTTCTTTTAAAGGTATACAAATATCATGCACCATAAAGCGTGATCATGGCCCTGAACTTGTGTAATTAACAAAATGATTGGTTACTTTAAATCAAATGATGCAATTAAAATAATTCCACTCACGTGTAATTCTGGTGGTAAATGATTGACATATTTTGGTTAAAGAGCTCTTTTTTTATATAACAATATGACAATTACAGACTAAGTTGATTTAGTGCACACTATATATGTGAATATGTTTGAAATTACTAACTTGCCAAAGATATTAATTAAATAAATATAAAGGCATCTTATTTCAAGAGCAAAAATTCTAGCAATATTATTACACATCTTCAGTAGGCCGGATGGTTGCGAAAAGTAGTACGTTAAACCCCATTTCATTGGGATTATTATACCTTTGGATGTGATTTACCTTTAAGTAATATTCTTCTGAAACTAGAACTGACTAAAACTATTGGAGTGTGCTCACAACAATAAGGTGCCCAAAATAGAATACACTCGTGTACATGAAAAGAAGAATGGAATTTAAAACCCAGCTGCACACGAGATTTATTTTTATTAAGAGACTAAAGTAAACATTACATGTACGTGAATATTGCAGATTATTTTTTTCCTCTTTTCTATACAATTCTGGGAGGTAGGAAACTAAATATTTCTTTTGATTGTGAAATTAGCAATCTGGTATTTAATCATTATTGTTAGGCAAGAGTACACAAGATAAATATAAACTAGTCATATTGTTCTATTGATCAATGTCCTGTAAAGGATTTTGCAGGTTTTAAGCCTCTTCAAGGAGAAAACTGTTTGTTCAACACAACAAATGATAAAAGATTTAATCAATTCAGCTTTAAACGTATATTTATTCAATCTTGTTTTATTATTGGTTAAGAATAAAGAGCGTTTTTTTTTATTTTTTTTTGTCTGGGTGTGCTATATTAGATGTTCTTATCCACTCTCACTTACGGCACACATTATATCAATCAACTGATCGTTGCTGTGTTACGTCGTTTTAAGTCCATACTTCACTTATACAATATAATACTCTATAATTCATTTAATAGTCAACCAGGCTAATCAACTTGTATTATGAGTTCCTTCATCGTTGTGCAAAATATGCCAAACAATATTACCACATTTAAATTGTTCATGATTTTGACAGGTCGGTGCAATGTTGTTCATTAAGAATGAAAGTCTATTTTTAGTATGTAGGTTACTATGATTAGGGAACAAAATTAAAGGTAGCCACCCGATAATACATTGAAAATATAGTTTTACACTTGCTGCAGTTCCATTGGCCATCATCGGCAAATGTTCCACATACATCTACTATATGTTCATAGATTATTTCACTACTACAGTTGATTTCTGTGATTAGACCCGAAAGTCATGCCTGATTGGACGAGAAACACACACTTATAGTTGCTGCCCAATGGCGGGGGAATTTACAGACGTCAACTATTCCTGTCTCTTAGAATAGTTAATTAATAGAAACAATCAGTCGACTTTTCCAAGTAGACTGTGAATATACCAACAACAGTTTATGTCTTGAAATACCAGGCACCGAAGATCCGCTTTCCTGTAATCAATCTGCTAGACTATTTCATTTAGTGGTGATCGTACAGCTATTTTGAATCACGGGTGGTTATCAGATAGGACCTAAAATTCCGTCCAATATAGTAAACGTATCGACAAACTATTGCCTTTTGTATAGGTATAGAACCTAAAACGCAAAAAAAAAAAAAAAAAAAATCTCTGTATTACATACATATGTACACCCACCTTTAATGTACCTCATTAAAACACGTATGATGTTTGAGTTATTCACTTAATAGCCATGAGTTTTTTTACTAGTGTTCATTTAATGATAATGTTCGATTTGCCAAATTTGTTCTATTCAATCAACTCATTTAGGAATTGGTTCTCGAATCTTGTTTTTTTAAAGCATGGTCTTCATGCCAAAAACAATTGTAAAACATTTCCATTATATAACAATGTTTGCTGGAGATTGTGGGTTTTTTTATAATCTGAAATGACTTTATCAAAATGGAAACCAAAACCACTTTTTGGTCCACGTCATGTAGCTATAATTTCCTATTTGCCTCCTAACAACATGCCAGTTATTGAACGAGCGATGCCAAACGAATTCCCAGGTTGAATCAAGTTACCCAAAAATGATTAATATTCCATCGATAGTATGATGTATTATGTCTGTATAAGTAATCCTGCTCCTATTTTTACATATAAAACATCATACTGTCATAAAGAACATCCAAGACAAATTTACAATGACGTTAATGCCGCCGCCTTCTAATACTTATCTAAGTATTTAATCGATATTTTTGGATCACTTATGATTAGAAGACGTAGTCCATGTAATGCATGTGTTTTATTGTGTTACAAGAATTTGACGAATAGATACATAATTAATAAGACATGTTGTCATTTTGATCTTTTGTTTTTATTAAAAAATAGCACAGGAATTTTTCGACAAAAAAGGATCATGTCTTTTTGATAGCGAACGGTTTTGTTACTTAATATAATTTTGCCATGCAAGTGGTGATATTATTGACTTAAATGTTGCCCCCCCCCCGTAAACTTTGGTTATTTTCGGCGCAATTAGCTACAAATTGTAATGGGTGTCATGCACGAAGTAGGACATCCTTATACTTTCGGGAACACTTATTACCAGACCCAATTTAACGCAAATAACAGTTTTTGGCTCACTTTTACATTTGAATTTTGTGCATTATTATATGTCTTTGGGTCTTTGAGTTAACGTTCATTTGCATTGCAAATGTATTTTATAGTTTCGCACTAAGCGTCAGTTTATAAGTCTAGCTTATGAACGACTGCAGTCTAACAAGATTTTGCAAATGGATTTTTTTAGATCTCACATTAAATAGTTTAATAATAAACCTTCCAATATTTGTGCCAAAATTGACGCTGAAGTGACTGGCCATAGATTTATGCTGCATTAGAAAAGACATTGAATATATAATTTCGGAATATGTATAGAGAGATCCCCAAGATAGTAGCTTTAGGGTATTCGTCAAATACATGTATATAGATTTGCGAAACCAGTGAATCAGTCAACAGACACGCTCCTGTCACCCCTACAGCTTTCAGAAACAAAACAAGACCACTTGCTATTACTGCTATTACACAATTTTAGCAAATCCATTATTTATTAATTTTTGGGGGGATTTTGATATTTCTTATGATCGATTGTGTTTGATTTTATCCTATATGGAACAAATATTTTAATAGACGTTGTTTCACTCTCTGTCGAGACTTCAGTATGCTTTTGATACACATACAAATATAATATAAATACTTTGTCATTTAATCGAAGGGTGAGTATAAATAATAGTCGACTGGGCAAAAAATCTAGTGTCTTAGCTTCTGGGGTTTTAATATTTGTGACCCATGATTGACAGATAGTGATCAAAGTATCACCAGCAGACTAAAACAACAGTTTCTGTTTCCAATCGTATCAAAAACCTATAAACTCACATTAAAGTGTTTGCTCAGTGCCAAAATATAAAGCCATCTAATCAAAACCAAGCACGCTCTTCAGATACAAGTAACCCGATGACTGTTCTAAAAAAGGTCGATATAGAATCTTAGGTCATCAGTTTGAAATGCACCAAATTTCACAGTTCAAACGGTTTGGCATTGATGTCAACACGCAAGAATGAGTTGTTACTTGCGTCCATTTATTCGATGGTTAATCGTGATGTGTTAAATTCTAATAAATAAACTAACACCCAATCCTTCTCTTTGCTATAAAATTCGGTTTTTATCGCTCGCGTAGGGGCAGATAGACATCATCAACAATCAATTTATGATAAGTTTGAAGTTTTCTGAAGTACTTTCATCAAGCCTATATAAATCCTAGATTTACCAAACCAAACATATTTTCCGGTTCTATCATTTCAGATCCTCTATGACGATGAAAGCGCTTATCTCAATGAAGACTTCTGGGACTGCTCACAAAGAAGAACTGATATATTGTCGAAAATGGATTTACAATTTAGCGGTTACCAACTTAATTGGACAGTTTTCTTTAATAATGTGTTTCAAGGTGAACACATGACATTGTGTAATGTACAGCTTAATACCGCTGTTCAAACCTTATTACAAAACACCCCTAAACACGTTTTAAAGAGATACACTATACTTCATACTGTGTTTAATACGGATTTATTAGTGTTATTCCCGTCCATACTTAAACAGCTTACCCCGAAACAAGAACATAATTTATTGATAGAAGGATTTGATCATCAACTAGAAAGACAGTGTGTCGGCTATGTCTTTAAGTTTATTCCCGGATCGTTGCATTGTACAATCAATAACACGAAGAGATATGAAGGAGGGAGAAAGTTCTCTTCAGTTTTTGACACAATACGAGCGACATTATCAGATCAGATCGTCAAACTGTTTGATATCGATATCAAAGACTCGCAACCCATCATCAACAGGTGCAGTGAAGACGTCGGCCAGATCTGGAACCAAACAGTCAACCAAGACTCATCGATACCAAGTGGTTTCTTCACCGATCAATCATTCACCATCAATATTATCAATCTGATTACACACCAAAATATCCAATATTTACACGGTCACAAGAAACCCAGCGTTAATCCCCTCAATGTGGCATCCGTCGCCCAATTCGTGGGATGTTTGTGTAAGTATCTTTAAATAAATGAATAATTGATTGAAGCTTTGATGAATGTCATTTTAATGTAACCAGATTTCCAATATTTGAACGCTTGATTTATTTTAGATGAATTGTAGGTTTGAGGTGAAGAATAATTCGTAGGAAAATATCACTCATTCTAAGGCGATTTCACTGGCATGCCAAATTACCATTTTTTACCACTCTCTCTTAAATTATACTTTTATAACTGTTCGATTAGCATCCTTGGTGGATTAAAAAACAGAACGCTTCCAAATTTCACGCATTGCTAGAACAGCTTTGTATGAAACTAGAGCGATACAATGTTGGCCATAATTTTAGCCACCACTGCTGTATCTTAAAGATGGGTTCCCGCGTACAAACTGGGTGATTTAATGGCATATATGGACCAAAAACATATTCAAACTAATTAATTTGTCATAATTATGCTCCAAATCCTTCTCAAACATTGTAATTGCGAAGGAATGCCCTGCTATTAAAATTCGATCAAACCAGGTCATGTTTACGTCACGTGACTTACCTCTCTTGGAAGTTTTTAATCGTCGGGCTGTTGATTAGGGGAACCCATACGTTTTTGTCCTGTATACGCTCCATGAGTGTTTTTCGGGGAATCCAGTATTTTTCTAGTAAGATTGGATATCTCTACTTTCCATATATACCAAAATTGCCATAGTTTTATTGGAAATTACCACCCGATAAATACTTTTCTGGGAACCCATCTTTAAGATAGGCTAATGTGCGGGTTTATTAACATCTTTAATATGGTGCACGTATTAACTAAAGTGATCGGGAGCGTTTTAAAACAAATATGTATAAAAACAAAAGCAAGAATCACAAATCATTAAAAATAAATCACAAACTAAAATAAAAGAGAGTTATATAAAGTAATATAGGTTTGAAATATTTAAAAGAAAGGCTTAAAATCTTTACACGAAAGGCTTAAAATCTGTAAAAGAAGTTAACATTAAAACTACTTATCCTATTCATAATAAAACAACTTTATGGATTTACTACTTCTTGGTTTATTACATGCAACGTTTCAGTACTCTTACAGGTATCTTTATCAAGCAATGATCAATAATGAATAACAACCTTACATTTATAGTACACCCATGAGTAAAACAATTTAACAATCAAAACATAACATTAATTAAGACTTATACCAACAACTATTTCCCTTTGAATATGACTTCACTATCTCTCTTATTTATAACAGATTAAAATATCAATATCTCACTTGTTTCATAGAAAATGGCCCCTAAAACAAAATGTTTCTCCAAAACTCGAACGTCGAACAGAATAAATTGTTGTGTCTTATTCCGACCATCTCGTACAAACCGCGAAACTATTGGGTTATTCATCATCTTGGAAAATGTCATCAGCAAACATTCGATTAACAAGTATAATGAAATTCGTCAATTTGCTGTTTAAATGAGTTTATATAGTACCAAGCAATTGATACAGTATTGAAAGATAACAGGAAGCCGTGTGTGTGAATAAGAATAAACCATTTTAGTATTTAGATGATATCGAAACGGGGTTAATGAGAAATAGTAGTATTATATAGAACAAACAAATCAAGGGCATCAATACTAATTAAGATAGTGAAATAGAATAAAATTAATAAGACGGCTTGAGAAATAAAACAAAATTGTAATACAATGACTATTTGTTACATAATATCAATAACTATACACTCATTACCTGATATTGCTATTCAAGCATACCAGCGCCATGATGTATTTGTACTTCTCTTAATGCCCGTGGTTATGCTCATTACGATTGCAGTGAACTAAGAGGGCAATTTTACCCGGTCAGCGGCATTTACGCCTATGCTTTATCGATACAGTTGTCAAGGTTTCTTGTACGTGTCCAACGAGTATATGAGTGGACCTCGTGTTTTTGTCACATCTAAAGGGCTAGACACTTTCTTGCACCACCAACAAGAAGAAACATGACTGGAAAATCCTGATTAACTTGCTCGTCTTCAACTTGGATCGAACCCGGAACCTCCTGGTTATTGAGTTAGTTATTTATACTCACTGATCCACGTTCTCGTACCGACTGTCATTGCGACTGACCTTCACGTTGTTCCCTCTATCTTTGATTCATTTATATTCTGAAAATGTCGTTCTGACTGTGATTTTCACATACACATTGGTGTAGTATATAGCCTACGCGATGTTGTATATAACCCAATACGCATTCATATAAATCTAATTTCTGTTGACCAGTTGCGGAAGTTCGGAGAACACTTAAACTGCTGAGATCACCTCATCTCCTAGATAATATTGAGATCATACACAATAGATCGTTTTTGTTGACGCAGATTTTCTGTCAAGTCACTATTTATCTGGGGAGCCTCGATAGCCAAGTGAATAAGGCACTGGCCGCTGCCCGGGCAAAATATCCACCCTAGCACGCTACGTGGCGTATGTCCATTTCCATTAGATAGGTCATCAAAAAACATTTGATTTCATTTTCATGTCTTCAGCATATACATTATGTACAAGCCACACAACGTCAATGATTAACTTCTTGATATTTCGATGAAAACGTACCTATACTGGGAGCCACAGTAGCTCGTTGGGGAAGTTCCCCGGGAATTTGCTGTCTGGTGTCTCCCTTTCCAGCGGTGCGGAGAGGATAGTCTGACAAGGGAAATGAAATGAAATAAAATGGGGTTTAACGTCCTACTGTTCTGTTCCTAAACTGGGCTAATGAAGACGGGCATACACCATACAGTGTGCTATGAGGGAAATTTTGCCCGGGCAGCGGCGCTACGGCCTACTCTTATATCAAATTCCAACTGCCTAGGGATCTTTTACGTGCACGCCAATATGTACCCGGGACTCCGGTCTTTCGTATCATCCGAACGACTAGACAGCTGTTCTTGTCAGGCCCTCCGTCCTGCATCACTGACAAGGGGAAACCACGCCGGAAAATCTGGATCAACTTTCTCGGCCAATGCAGGGATCGAACACCCGACCTCCAGGCTAGCGAGCCAGCGTCTTACCCACCTAGCCACGTGATCCCCTGTCTGACGAGGGAAAATTGCCTAGACCTAGACGTTCAGATGAGAGGAATACTTGAAACTCTTTATAACCAATGGCAGAGCGTTAACGATCTACGGACAGTTGCAAATGGGGCAAAAATTTGCTTATAGCACACTCTAAGGCGTATGCCCCGTTTTCATTTAGCCCCGTGAGTACAGAAATGTTAGCCGTTCAGCTCCATTTCACTTCATTTTTAATTACATCAGATTTTATTTTGATCTTATGTCATGTTGCTCAGTTATAGAACTTATCAAGTATCGTAAAATATATCTAAACAGTATCTAATCAGACATTTGTGTACTTCTTTCGTTCGGAATGTAGATCGATTTCTCTTTGATAAAATAATAATATACTACATTTAGGTCAATTATTGTAAAATATTAACATAATAATAAAAGTTGTCAATAATTTAGATTGATGCTAACTTCCTAATCTCATTCTGTTTGAAGTTTGAATGATTCAGGTTCTACAACTAGAATTAAACCATTGACCCAGTCTTCTTCACGTCCTTATATAGACTTCTATTAAGGACACCATAAACATCTTGTTATTATCCTGGCCTTCTATGTTCGTGTAATTAAATTGATCTGAGATATGAGTAGGTTACCAGAAAAGCTAATCAAATCAACACAAATTTGGAAACTTTAGTAAAACAAACATTAAAACTCTTATAGCCGTCAGAAGATATTCGGCGAGTAAACAATCAATGTCTTCAAGAAAGCTGTAAATCGTCGATATACCATTAGACTTTAGATTTCCATTAACCGACAGTTAATATGACCCTGTTTTCTGTTTCATTAAAACCAATTTGTCTGCTACAATCGCCAACAGGGTCGTAACAGTCGGATCAGGACGTTGGTTACCCCGGATCAGATTTGGAGACGTGAGAGCGCCATCCCAGGAAACGACAACTCTCACACTACACTGATTCTACACTTACTTATTGACACTGGGTTCAAACCGATTCTGACTGTAGTTTGATATGGCGTATTGATTTAGAACTAGATCATGTCCGAACTAGGTTTACCCAGTCGGAAAGGGGGGGAAACAATTCTAGTTGCTTGGTTTTATTAGTTGGTCTAATCGAGTAAATGTCTTATAGTTACCAACTCTATACAGCACGTTATTCATTTCCCTATCCGCCATTACCAGATATGATTTCCGTGTAAATCTCTCCTATGAGATATCCACCGTCTTTCAACTTACAAAATGACTGTCTGGCTTTTGTGTATGGTTTTCATAAAGATGACAAGTTAGCAATCAGATGGAATGAAAAATGTCGTTTTATAGGGTGTATTGCTAACTCAATTTGTTGAGTTGTTTATAACGGGTTCCTTTCCTATATATCGTCTTCCGTCCCCTTTTATTGAATTAAGCATGAAATCAATATGGCGTTGAGGCCTATCTATTTACTGGTCAATGTAAATATTTACATTCTCTCATTTTCTTATTTTCATCATTATTTTCTAAAGAACAATTTGTAGCTAAATAAATCATCTCTAAAACACATATTTACAGATTGCCTCTGGAGGTTCAAATTGAATCTAAGTATTTGCTTATATCTGCAGGGAAACGGCTGTTACTCTCTCGCTTTAATTTGACGTCTTAATGAATAATTACAAAAAATATAACTATGATTAAACTTGATTGTATAGGATATGGGTGGAATATTTGTTCCTTTACAACTTCATAATGTCTGGCTTAGGAATGTAAACCTAGAAAAAGGAATGAATTTTAATTGAAATTCAAGAACGAAGAGAAGCAATTATAAATGTTGTTTGCCACCAATGAATTAAATCGTTAGAACTTTGCTAATTGAAAAATTATTTTGTTTACTTTATCAAATGTCAGATTATCTGACTTCCTGGGGAGAAAATACCATTTAGAAATGAACTCCCCACCAATTCAATTGTATTACACATCCATCCGGATCTGGAATCAATTAAATGGTTTTTTTTATACCCTCAAACAATACAGTGACACGTTAAGTAAGGCTCTGGCTTACTAACCAGTGTTGACCGAGACGGCACATTGTCAGTGGTGCAGAACGGAGGACCTGGCCAGGTACAGCGTCTGGTCGTTCGGGTGGGTCGAGAAATCGGGGTCCTGTGTACATGTTGTAGTGCACGTATAAAAGACCGAGATAATCGAAAATAAGAGTAGGCCCTAGCGTGTTTAGCCGGGACAAATTTCCCTCATATCTCACTGTATGGGGGACATCCAACTTCATTAGCCGAGTCGTTGCAGAAAAGTGGGACGTTAAGCCCCATTTCATTTAGTTTGAGACATAAAATAAGAATTGTAAAATTTGAAAATATCTTTTCAATTAGAAATATTTGAATTTTTAAATTAGACATATTGACTGAACTTTTAAATAGATATATTATTTGAATTTTTGATTTGGACATATTATCAGAACTTTTAAATTGGACATATTATATAAAGTTAAACGAGACAGTTGTGGAGAAGGTCACGACTCCATTCTAATTGAGATGTTTATCGGTAATCAAGCTCTTGTATTGTATGTTCGCTGACAGGAACCATGCGAGAACATTGATACCCAATATTTAGTTTCCATGTTACTAGTTAATCTCCGATCTTCTTTAAACATGATATTGACATCAAGCGTACGTTAGATGATTTGTGGTGGGCGCATATTTACAAGTAAACCTGCACGAAATAGTCAATTATTGCAGACCGCACTTATTAAGAACTGTTCAGAATATGATGTTATATATTTACAAATAACGCAGTAAACAAAGTTTTTATATAAGGAATATTGTAGGTGTGCAAGCTAATGGGGAGTTTCATACAAACGTGACTCTCGTGATACTAATGAATCAGTCTGATAGTAATGATCTATTGATTCATATGTATCCGTAAACAGAACCAAAAACAGGAAGGTGGGAGGAAAATTCTCGTCAACATGTTTACTAAAATCCGAGAGTGGTATATTTAGTTTTACCACCATCATTAATCACTTACAACTTAATCATAACTAGACACGTATTTGTTACGTATGTAATGTTTAGACTATTTGATTAAATGATATTTATGTTCATTAATATTCGTATGTTACCAAACCATGGTGTTCATCATATTCTGACACCCTCTGCCATTGGTCATCATGTTTTAGGAGGTAGTACCTATCTGACTCCCTCTGCCCTTGGTCATCATGTTTTAGGAGGTAGTACCTAGTACCACACATATCTGAGAAGATATTTTTGAAAAATCAAATATCTTGTGGAACTCTTGTGGTAAAAAAACCATCACAGACCATAAATATTTATCAATAGCCGAACTTTTGTCATTTTCTTTACAAGTCCAATATCTTATGGAAATCTGTGGTAAAAGTAAAATCACACAAAAGCCCTAAAACCTTGCCATAAAATTAGGTTTTAATAGACTTAATGTTTTAGAACGAGGCACGACAGATTGTTATTGAGTTTATTTCCCTATATGGTATATTATATTATTCCCACCCCCTTGTTTACTGTTTAACAGAAATGGGTTCAACAAAATGGTAGTTCACAAACGATATCTGTTCTATTGTTCTAACTGACATGGTGTATTTACTTATTTTAGACGTTTGCGTCGTGGGCCACAGTTTCCAGCGGTAAGAACACTGGTAGGAGTGTCCCGGTTCCGATTTTACAGGAGTATAGCCCGAAAAGGGAAATGTTGCCTTGTCGTTCGAATTTCCAATGTCTGGGCAAAATTGCACAACTAACCATAGAAGAAATAACAATATTTTAGTCTCAGAATGAACGAATTACTGTGTTGAGGAGACGTTAAACTCAATCCCCATCCTGGCCATTTCTTTCCTAACGGATATTTTCCTTCGGGATGAAAAAGCCGTTTGTTGATTTAACTCCTCGAGTTTTTTTTGGGAAATCCTCTCTTTTTAAAACTACAAATGTTTATGAATTATAATTACTGTGTTGAGGAGATGTTAAACTCCATCCCCATCCTTGCCATTTCTTTCCTAACGGATATTTTCTTTCAGGATGAACAGCCGTTTCTTGGCTTAACTCCTCGAGTTTTCGATCTTTTTTTTGTAAATCCTTTCTTTTTAAAACTACAAATGTTTATTAATTATAATTTCAGATGGTCGAGGTGTGAGCGGTCCTATATCGTATCCCTTGTCCTTACCAATTAATGTACACTTTGGGTCTATGGGATCTTTTTTAGCTCGACAGATGACCGAAAAATTAGATTTAGATGGTGAGTAAAGCTATTTAATATAGAATAAAGAATAGATCTCAATTGTTATTATCTGCAAAAACAAACCGACACATTTGTTCTTTTTATTCAATCTGATGTGACATTGTGTTGCATATTGTCTATAAATATTTCCATTTTCTGTAAATAGACCCATATTTTGTAAAATCAATGATGGATATCGTCTTATAGTTGGCATTACATATGTACATAAATTCAACAGTAGCGTCTAGAAAATATGGGTTTAAGATTAGGTAGAATTTAGAAAGAGAACGTTCATTTATTTGTATATTAAACTTTGCATGGGGATGTCTTACATGGGTCTAATGCTAATATCGGGTTGTAGATTAGGACTCAAGCGGTTGAGTTTGCAACTGGTTAATTCTTTTTAAACTGAGCAGATCAAATGAAAAAAATTGAAATGAAATTCTTTTTTCAGTACATTGACATTCAGATATTGGATAACTTTTGCATCGTTAATTTACAAAAGATGTCGAAACTTTTGGTTTTTGGTTCAAATGTAAAACCACCAACTGTTTGCATTCAATCACTTTCAATTTTTATGAACATTTTATAGAAAAATATTTTTATTCATTTCGGTTAATAAGTTTATCAAGTTGACCTAATCTCGTGAACTTTTTGCATGAATGGCACAGAGTATGTAGTTAATTCGAGAAGAAAAAACAAATGAACTTTGAAATGATGGATGCACTTAATAGCTTCTAAAGAGAAGAGGGAGCATAAACCTTGTTAACCTAACATGCAAGTAAAATTGCTATTTTCTCATTTCATACAACATAAATCAACTCATTACTAAACACCATTCCAAACCCTCCACACTGTTGGTTTTATAACCTTTTTATTTTTCGTTTAAGTTGTGTTGAACCATTATGGTCAGGATTTATTAGATCATAGCGCTGTTTTAAATCTAGCATTAAAACTTCAGTGTTTAGCCAGTGTTTATAGTAACTTCCAGTTATTGACAGAGGGAACACAAACTTACAAGGTAATGTGGTTTTCTGTTTAACAAGTCGTTCGACCTAAACGCTATTTTTATATCGACGTATCTTCTCACCCAGTTATCCCATTCTGTTGTTGTCAAGAAAAACCAAGAATTACTAAGCCTCGGGGAAAGCTGTTCTCAATTTGTAATCATTTGATTGCATAGTAGACTGAGGTCTCTAGGCCCATGTTATGATGGAATTTGTTGTCGACTCAATAATAAATGGAACATGAATTGAGTTCATGTTACATCATTTTTCTCTGATAATACCTATTACTTTATGAATATTTTGGGAGTTAAATGTCATGACTACATATATTTATGTAGAAATGAAAATATCGAGATTGATTAACGGGTATTTCATAAGACTGTCGACGATGGCATTTGAAATTGTTTTATCCTTATATCTTCAAGGGCCATTGCCGAATTTGGTGCATTTGGGAATTTCAGTGTTGATTTCAGATAGTATGTTGAAAATAATTTAAGAAAATGTGTATATTATTTCATCCCGTATATATGGTTTTAATTTATTACCCCTTTCGATAGTTATCGGCAAAATAAATAATAATCAAACGTTATACTGCTTACACCAGCAGCGTATGAAAATAAATATTGCCTGGATAATCGTGGGTATGTTTATGCCTGCCGTAATACAATAAAATTGTCTCGAATACTCAGATGTTTGGCTTTACTCATATTTGGCAGCTGTTATTGCAACATTGAAATCTCACAATGCCATCTCCTATCCACATATCAAAGTGTATTCTTAATTGCGACTGGCTAGGGCACGGCCATGGACTTGAGTTGTATACTAGACATCTTACAGTACACCACTGTAAACACAACAGTTTGTGATAAAGGTGTTTGCAAGTAATGTTCACTTTCATTACCTTTTTCCGGCGTGGTTTTACCCTGTCAGTGGAGAAGGACGGTGGGTGTGGGGGGGGGGGGGCTTGCAAGGGCAGCGTTTGTTCGTTCAGATGGAACGTCCCGAGATCACGTAAAAGAACCCCTGATGGTTGCAATTCATTAGCCCGGCTGGTGCAGAAACATAGGACATTAACCTCCATTTTATTCATTCATTTAGTAACACGCAAGCAGTACACACTGAAATTTGACATTTGAGCGTGTTTGATAGGTCTACGTCGGCATCTGGTCTCTTTTATTTACATTCAAGATGTTTCGTGTTAGTGTATTTATAATCTTGAGCACCAGCAATATATAGTATGGTGTATTATGCTCATTTGGCATCTTAAAACAGCTTAGTGGTTGAAAATAGTAACCTTAAAAAGTATTTGTCGTAGTCGTACATCAATTACCTCATGACAATAAGAAGTTTGGTTTGGATTTCTAGATTTTAAATCAACTGTTTTCAATGTTCTAGGTACGGGGAGATCATATCAAGAATGAAAGTTGGAAAGATCATCTGTCACTGAAATTAACATACGAGGTGGGTTCAGTTACATCATTGGCTACTTTCTTCATTACATTACTTTAATTACATGGTTTGGGTTTAAGTTTATCTTGCTGCCATGAGCTGTCACATTAGGTTAATAGTAGCGCTTCTGTTCTCGTTTTAACAAAATCGAAGATCGGAAGTAAAGGGGAGACAACCATCTTTATTTCTTGCCTATCAGGATGCAGACCACCATTAATTTCCCCATTGACTTCAATGTTAATTCTGGCCTCTTTGCCCACCTCCAACTTTTCCCCAAATTTTCGTTGGGCTGAATGCTTTTCACTACAGACAGAGGAACAAATGGTCATGTCTTTGCACTAAAATTTGTATGAGGTTGACCACCAAAATTTTGAGATACACAAACTTGTAGAAGCATACTAAAAACATGTAACTAGTTGTCGTACATATCGCCGTAGCCAACCTGACAATCCCGTTATCCTTCCGCCTCAAAATCATGAATATTTACCAAAACCTGGCAGAAAATGTTAATTCAAACCCTCTTCGTCCATTCTAGACCAAAAATGGGCATGCAAAAGGGGAGAAAAGAGAGAGAGAGAATTGCTATAAATAGACGAACTACAATTCGTTGGTACCGAGATGGTGAAATTTAATGGTGGTCTGCCTCCATCACGTTTCACACCACTAATTATTTTGTGAGAAATCCTTCCATCCTTCATTTCCTCCCTTTTTGCATTGTTATTTATTTTTTTTAGTCAACAATTGATATGCAAAGGGTTTGAAATTTTATTTTTATGTAAGGTTTTCACGAATTAAGATTGTGACGAGAAAAGATCTGGGACCGGTTGTTCAAAACTCTAACGGATCGTTGTCTTGCTAACATGTCGTTTGTCCTATAGAAAATGGGATAGCCCCCCACACCACCAACTCTTTAGAATGTTTTATAGAATTCTATAGAAAACTTTACTGGTAATCTGTAGAACCTTTTTGCTAAGGGTATACGTCGACTGACAGCAAACTAATGCCATTGTTAAAGAGATAACGGAGCCCAACACTTCGTTAAATATAATGGCAAGTTAACGACATGTTAAAGTTAAAACCATGTTAACGAGTCATTATAAGTTAAAGGAGCGTTGAACAACCGCACCAGGAGGTAAACACACTTCATTTCGGGAAATTCCTTATGAAAAATAACATTTTCACTCCTATGTTACCTCGCTACGCCTAGCAAAAGAAATCGAAATTCTCAACGATCTTCAACATTGTGACGAAAAGACTGCAATGAGTTGCTCAGTTATGGAAACATAACATTAAAGTCAATTGGGTTTTAATTAGTAGCCTTACTCCATTATGTCTACTACTCTCGATTTATGATAATAATAATAGTAGCGTATCTAGTCTCGATTGTCAAGTAACATTGCTACGATATACAACGTCTCTATTTTCCATTTTAACCATTAACGAAGATATGGCAGACATTGTCGAAACGACTCAATATGTCGGCCATTCGATGGGATGCTCTAGAAAGTTGAATTGTCTAAAATAATAATTTATATAATATTTGAAGTCAAAAAAGACTGCAGTAGGCAGATTTAGCTCCTTATATAATTCATCTTTAATAATGATTTTTTAATCAGTATGTTTAATATATATATTTCAGGCGTGGTTAAGATATAATAATGGAAAGCGTGATGTGATAACAATACCAGGATTACCATATAATCAAAATCAATTGTTTTTTGTTTTGTTTGCCCAGGTTTGTATAGTGAATAGAATATTTTTGTTCCATTCTTTCTTTCCAGATTATCATTAGTATAATAAAACTAATTTTACAATTACACTGTTTTGGCATTCCGAATGCTTAATGAATTTTTAATTTTTTCTTTCAAATTGTCATTTATTGATACATTATTATGAGGAAGATCTAAAACCTATATTACATACGGAGGCATTTTTATACTTCCCCTGTATTATACATGCATACCATATTGATAAAATGTCACAGTTTTGTTTAAATATAGACAATCCTTTCGTTCTTTGAATGTATTTCTTAACTTTCAGACAATGTGTGAAAAGGTCAATAAAAGAGGTATATTAGATCATTATATACAGGATTCTAGTAACCCTTTACCTCCGAGTAAATACAGGTAACTATATTCATTGGATAATACACTCTCAAGGGGTTTAAGATAAGGACGGACACTGCATGGCGTATGCCCGTCATCCTTGGCCCAGTCGATGCAAAACATTAAGACTTTATACCCTATTTCATTTCAGGATTTAAAATACTTAACATATCCGGGGCGCTATTGCCGTTGGATACAATCGCAGGAGATATCCCCAGTCTGTCGAAATCTGCCCCATTCTCTGACGGTAGTTTATTCGTCCACCAGTTATAGTGTATCCACGGTTCAGTTGACATCGAGGGACCCACGGTGGCTAATCAGGGCAAAATTTCCCCCATAGCACACGGTATGGCGTATCCCCGTCTTCATTAGCCCAGTTCGGAACAGAACAGTAGGACGTTAAACCCCATTTCATTTCTTTTCATTTCATTTCCGTTGACATCGAGCATTTGGAATCAAAGCCGTCTAATATCATAATAAACATTTGGATTGCCCAATATAAACGCATAATCATTGAAACACTTTCATTTGACGTAGCGATATTGAGTTTAAACAATCAAAATTCACTTGATTTTTACACATTTCAATAGAATTGTACATGGACGCTTTTTCGATTTTTGTCCTAAATGAGTAATATCATTTACAAAACAGGATAAGTCCATCTGTCTGGCCTGGATCTATAAAGCCCCAGTCGCATTTTCTCGGTATTCGACAACCAACGGTGACCAAACAGGGATCAACCGTGCGGATCCGTAACAAGGGATGTACCGTGGTCTACCGTGATCAACTGTGGTATTAATCATAGTAGTACTGACCTGCGGTGGCAACACAGTAGTATAAACTGTAGTGGCACTATAGAATCAAACCGCGGACTACCGCTTTTCCGCCAAAATGGCCCCGGGAGAACCTGGGTAAACCGTGGCCAATACCAGGAAAGTGTGAATTATGTTTTAGAGTACAAAACTATATAACGCAATGAATGAACACAATTAAATGGCTAGATACTAGAATATATCAACGACCATCTATACCTGTATTGTAGGAAAGGTTTAGATTAGAAATAAAAGTGATGAACATTCTGAACTCGCTCCCGTTAAATAAATATACAACAAATGTTTAAAAAGAAAAGTGGTCTGACACCAAAGAATACAATTGGACGATATAATGCTTCCTCTGTTATTTTCTTTTTATATCTATTTCCAGAATAAATGGTGCAGTTATGAACTTTGCACCTTTTGCTCGAGCTTTCCAGTGCCCAGCTGACAGCCCTATGAACCCACGACGTAAATGTCCGACTGTGTAAAGACACTCCTTAACAGTTTTACAGACATGATTAACACTTAATCGTCATTAAGAAGAGCTCCAGGGGAACCGAGTCTCACTGAATCCGGTCGCATTACGCCAACTACATCGTGATTGTTACTGGCGAAATTATCAAGCGACAGGGCCAAAGTGGGACAATAAAGTCTTATAGTTCCGAATGTCTTGAAATTTTAAGTTTCACTTCCAGGCAGTCGAGCACCAACCAATAAAATAACAAACATGCCCTCCAAATGGATATATGCCAATAAGTCGATTGCCATTGTGCAAAAAACGATGAGCAAGCACTCAGCCCTGCCTCGTGGAAATGAACGAATAAAGAGGCTCTTTCCAAAAAAAATATATCACGGTTTCAATAACATCATAATGCATATTAATTAAGAAGAACATTTATAAAAGTATTGAATATGGTTGTTACAGAAATACACATCAATATGTGGTGAACTTCTTAGTTATCTTAACAATAAGGGATTTGAGCGATTCTGGAATAGAACGTTTATTAAGATAAACCTCTTCTACGTACTAAAAGGTTAGCTTGTATATGCATATATATGAAGTATAAATACATCATAGAATCGCTGGGGGATATCAATACTGTGACAGCCATATCAGCTAGTCTAAATATAGCATGCTAATCTTTTTCGGAATGCTACAATGCTGTCGCGTGAAATGTAGATGGAAAGAAACCTTTAAATCAATTCCAAATAATTCCAATATTTCTGTATGGAAATTTCTGTTATTCTAACAATATATTTTATGCTTTTTAATATTTGGTTGATTGAGTACTCATATTTTAATATCGATCAATAAACGCATTGGGATTTGGAATTTATTTAATGTTTTAGTCAAAGAGAATACCAAGAATTTATCTAAGAAAGGTTTTTAAAGTGCGCTTTTGAATAAGCTATTATGTAATGCTTGTATTTTGCAAAAGAAGTAATAAAATAGTTGAGAACCTTTCAGTAGCTATAGAAACTAATGAGTACAACCGGATTACTACTAGCTTGTGTTTCTACGCCCTTTCAGCTCACAATATAAGATGTTATTGAATTGCTCCTTTCAATTGCTGGATTATATATAAAGGGTGCAAGAGTGGAAAATCCCCGAGAAATTTCATTCCTTTGTTGGTATACCGGAACTATGTATGTTTATGTTGATTACTTAAACTGTGCAATAAAAATACAGGTAATACTAGAAGATGTAGATAAGATTCTGTGTATATAGAGAATTAATAATAAATATTATTTTAATCTAGATCTAAATATAGACTAGACCTTTTTGTGAGCAACAGGGAACAAAGATTCTTATTTTGAAATCAATACATTTAATAATTTGTAAATGTATATGTACAGCTTCTATCTGAAAATAAAATCCGTTTTTAAGATTCCGTGTAGTCTGTTTGTAGTGTACATTTATCTAAGACTGTTCTGGATTAAGACTATTCAATATTTCTCCCCTGATCTCATGTAGGGCGATTATCTATAGCAATCCCCTCTTCTCCCCACCCCTCTCCCATTTTGCATTCCCATTGTTTTGTGACTTTAAGGTCTAAAATCGAAGAAGGGTGTTTGAAAAATTCAATTTTCTGTCAAGTTGTACTGAATATTTTTGAATTTTGAGCCGGAAGGATCAGGAAGCAAATGGGCATAAATTAGTGCAATCGCCATGAACTGATCATGCCTAGCAAAACATTCTTCAATATTTGTATCAGATGACTGTGACATGTTGGGCTCGTTGTGGTCATAAAGACTGAGAACATCGGAATGTTAAAAACAAAATTGTATAGGTCAAGAAATGTGATGGATTTAATATTGTAGTCAATGACGAGGGCATTACTAATCCTGTGCTTCGTGATACTATACGAGTTATTCCCCTTTTTAGATTTAACCCAAGCGGTCCGGTAAATCCGGTAAATCGTAGAATCGCATTTTTCCTACCAACTGATTTTATTTTACAATTTGACTTTTTAGAGTTTTTTTTATAGTCAATATATCTTGCATAACGATATCTGACAAGTTTCTTTTTATATCTTCAAAACTAAGGCATATTAGTCAAAACCCTGTCCCATCAGACAGTACACCAATAATTTTCCAATTGACTCTATTGTTAATTCCCGTCTCTTTGGGCAATTCTTACTTTCATCAAATTTGCTTTCCACCACAGATGGAGCAATATATAGCAACCGCTTGCTCAAAAGAATGTATTAGGTTCGTCATGGAAATCTTGAGATACACATACGACCCCACACCGCCCCAACCCCGCCCCTATATTTCAACGTAACCAACCTCTTAAGTATGTTCTTTGCAGAAATTCGATTCTACCAAAACGTCAACAAATATCACCATACAAAAGAGTGGAAAAGAAAGTTTAAAATAAAAAAACCAGACTTACATTTAACAGTGTCATGTGTCCTATATAGGCGTGAAGCCGTCCGCGTTGTTATTTTTTTTCGTTCCAACATATGACAGATTCGGAACCTCGATAATCTTGGCATAGCCACAGCTCTTAACTAACCTTTATCATCAGTTGTTCGTTAAGACTGTGTTATGTCTCTGATAATGGCGCCAATGTCGCAATTGGTGCTTTAAACTATATTTTATTCATGGAAATTGCAAATGATCTAATAGGATCCAAAGTTCGAAAGGTTAACGATAACAAGCAAACTGCTTATAAATATCGCTTCCTTATATGACAGTTATTTTTGTATCAGCTATAATTATACAGTAGGTTAGTGGTCATCAAGAATGAGCAATTTGTACACCAGAAATGTAGACTGAATATTCTAGGGAGTGGAGGAAAAATTATATAATAATAATAATTTATTGAACTTAACGGGGTTGGGTGGCCGAATGGTTAACGCGTGCACGTTGCATCATAAGGTCTGTGAATGAGTCTTGGAGTTTCTCCGGGTCCCCCGGTTTCCTCCCACTGCTAAAGACCCCCACGCGCAAGCCAATTATTGAAATAAAATTGAACCATACGTTACCCCCCTCCCCTCTCTCTCTCATTGGACTTATATATTGCCATATTGCCAAAATCCAACTTGTAAAGCTGCTCTGTGGCGCCTGTACAAAATAAAAATATGTGATTATGAGTAAAACAATAAAAGATAGAAAATCATACAAAATTTAAAATTAAAATATTTGGTAAAACTAGATAATGAAATCTAAAATAGCAGGGTACAGGTACACAGATGAAATATAAAACATTTAAAAAGTTGGTAAATGAGATAATCACATCAAAGTTTTTATTTTTAAATACACCAAAACTTGAACTGGTTCTTGAGATGTCACTCCAAAGTTTTGGTGCTGTTTTTTTGCATGGCATTTCAAGGAGGTGAAGATTTGAGGAATGAATTTGGCGTAGGGGGGTTATAATTATTCTGAAAGGCGTTTCAGAACAGTTGATTGACAGATATGTGAGACACAAAATTCTGATATCTGTGCAAAAAGAAACGGGGAGTCTAGGAAGATGTTTCAGAACAGTGTGACAGATGAACGATAAGGTGTTAGTGAAATTATACTGGCAGCTGTATTCTGCATGAGTCTGGGAGAGTATAAGCTTTATGCAGGAAGACCAACAAGCAATGAGTTATAATGTATTAAAATACAGATGTGACGTCATCCTTTGATGTTGGAGTACCATTATTTCAAATAATCGTACGGGCAATGTGCCAAGCGTAACTTGGTAAAATATTGAACTCGAGTGACGTATTTCATTGCAGAGCACGTGCAAGTGTCTGTATTTTAAGTTGTTTAAGACATTGCGTAATATATTGTAAAAACTGTTACAATATAGTACTTAATGTGTCGCTCTCGACCATTAAACAATACATAAAGGTTTTGACAAGTAATTTACCGGTTTCAAAGTTAATATAAAGACAGAGTGTATCAATGTTGTACAGGTAAAAATTGCATGATTTAAAAATGGATGAAATATGGGATTTCATGGCCAGTGCAGAATCGAAATTTACACCAACAGAATTGACACAGTGATATCAGCATCTCCAATCGATTTAATAAGTCAGGTTTAAGGTTACACAAAGAAATTCATTTGAAACAATGGGTTAATCTATAAACTACCCTTTAAACTGGTTTGTTTACTCAATGTAGCGTACCTTTTTAAAATGCAAAACTGCAGCATTATTTAGATTTGCACCAATCCCCTTTATGCACCAATGCCTCTAAATTTATAAATATAGGTTCAATTGTATCAATAACGTTACTGATCCTTGGCATCTAAATAAAGGGAAAATACAAAATAAGTAGAATAGATCACTTGTAACTTACCTTTACAGGGTTTGGAAGAATTTAATAGGATAACGAAATGGGCTCCAATATAATTGTTTCTAGATAATTCATGAACGAATTGGAGATTCAAAGATGATGGAACTGGTCTGCCGATACTTATTCAGGTTTCTTAGTTCATAGAAATTGAGGAATTTTATTGTTGACAGCAGCCTTACGTCGGCATGCCCTCTAGTGACAGGGTGTATGATGGTGCCAGGGGCCAACACATTGATTGTATGCACCTTCGACTCAAACACGCAGACATGGGAGAATGGAAAATATTTGGAATACGCCAAAACAAATTAAGAAAGGCAGCTGGTACGAAAAAGTTAAGCGTAATAATTTATATTTATTTTTTATTATTATTTAATTCACTTATTGATGGATGTAGTTATTTGAGCTGGGCTCTGTAAATAATATCTGGAAACGTACTTATGCTTTAGATTGACAAGAAGAAAAATAAACACCAATAAACTTACAGAGGACCACACAGAAACATACAATCAACCATTGCTAGTTACCGTGCCGTAGTTCTATACGGCGATTGTTTGGTACAGGTTGCCGCGTCACGATCATTACATATACTATTCAAAAAAAGTAGGGGATATTTGATTTTGGGGGCATAATACTAAAATATGCAAATGACTACGAAAAAAGTCACTATAGAACCTAACAGAAGAAACATTTCCAGTTACATGTGACGCCCAAACGCACCAATAGCTACCGCATGGAATGCAGGTGATGCTTGGGATCATCATGGGGGTCCAACCCAAGATTTGCACGACTCTGACTTTGAATGTTACAGTCATTGTGGCATTGAATTCCAGGGTGGAAACATCAGTTTAATTGTTTTAGTGACCAGAAAACAAATTTTGATATGCGTCGGCTTACCCAAAATGAAAGGTTACGTGCCCTTGGCATGCTACAGATCGGCACAACACAGGCGGTTGTGGCGCGGACGATGAATGTTTCTCAGTCTGTCATAAGCAGGCTATGGTCCAGATACCGTGATACGCAATCTGTACAGGACAGACCACGCTCAGGTCGACCAAGGGCGACAACTCAAGCCCAGGATCGATTTATCCGTACCTTGGCCTTGAGAAATCGTGTCATCACAGCAAATCAGATCAGCGCTCGTCTTCAAACAGACACTGGTGTGAGAGTGAGTGGCCAGACGATTCGGAATCGACTGCATAGGGGTCACCTTCGCGCCCGACGTCCTCGCGTGATCCCTTGTTTGAGAGATCATCACATTCAGGCAAGACGTCGTTGGTGTAGGGATCGTCAACACTGGGATAATCGACGCTGGAGCAATGTGATGTTTTCAGATGAGTCAAGGTTCACTGTTGATTTTTTGGACAGACGTAGGAGGGTGTGGCGTCGTCGAAACGAGCGCTTCCAAGACGTTAACGTCATCAGACATGATCGATTTGGGGGTGGTTCTGTTATGGTGTGGGGAGGCATCACTGTTGCTGGAAGAACGGCTTTACATGTTGTTGCGGGGCGTGTTACAGGCCAGTACTACCGGGACAACATCTTGGCAGTCCATGTTGTGCCGTTCGCACGACGTCATGGCCGCCGTTTCATCTTCCAGGATGACAACGCAAGATGTCACAGGGCAAGGATCGTTACAGGTTACCTCCAACAACAGAACATCACCACATTACCTTGGCCAGCACTGAGTCCCGACCTCTCCCCCATCGAGCATGTCTGGGACATGCTTGGACAGAGGTTACGTCAACGTCAACATTGTCCTGCCAATGTCCAAGAACTTGTTGCTGCGTTGCAACAGGAATGGGACAATCTGGACCAAAATGACCATAGACGTCTCATTAGGAGTATGCCACGTCGGATCAATGCTTGTTTGGCAAACAGAGGAGGATTTACCCGTTACTGACTTGGTTGTGATGCTGTGGTAACTTTGCTGTTTGACCCCGGGTATCATTTTACCCTTATAATGGTCAGTCTGTGCCTTACTTAGTCTAACGATCATTTGGAATAAATCGATGAATGTGAACTTCATTTCATTTTGTCATTTGTTTCTTCGTCAGTTTCATTAGGTGACTTTAATAACACTTAAAAATCAAATATCCCCTACTTTTTTTGAATAGTATATAATAAATAGCTGAACATTCAAGTATGTCAAGTATTACCAAGATTTTGCTTTAATGACATAAGGAATTTTGGCGTAAGGGGTCCGAGACGATAAGTCTGTGGTTTGCTATCCATAACAAAACAATTTTGATAGGGATCCATAAAACATTGGACCCTATTACAGGGTCCAGATTACAAACCAAATGAACACGATATGTTCCATTTAAATGTTCCGTTTTTATGCTTGTGTTTAGGTAATTCGATCTATTCATGACTTAAAGATGTATTATTACTATTATGTAAGAGCTAAATCCGGTTATTGCACAGATCTTTCTTTTGATCTAACTGTTATATAAATTAGACATTTATTCACATGATAAGCTCATTATCAACTCTCAACCCCATTGGTTGGATGTGATTTTGAACGGATTGAAACACGATTGCCATTAAATGAATAATTTAATTTAAAAATGGATAATCGAGATTTTGTTTATTATCGTAACAGCGGCAGCAATGACAATCGAGACTCCGCTGTTCTTCAAACAGTCAGAATGAAGTAATTTGATTTGAATATTTAAAATATTTCTTTTTATTATCTAAATAATTAGACAATGCATCTTTAAAGAAGATTAGTACAAAACATTAAAATTATCGTATCACTGTAGAAGTGGCCGTAGCAAGAATTTGGAAACTAACAAGTGCTACATGGTAAGACGGGTTCTGATAAGAAGAACGCCCACATCAAACAATATAGTATCACAGACAACAAAGCAATGAAAAAAATCCTCCAATTTCTTTAAAGAAATCCCAAAGGTGGATAAAGAATTGACGCAGACAGACTTATGCAATGGAGAATCGGAAAGTCGCCGTTATCAAACATTGCCATAACTTATTAAACGTCTGTACATGTAGATCTAATTCTATATCTATTTTATTGTAATATTTGATGGATTGGATCAATTTCACTTCAGTTCAAGCATGTAAGAATTTAATTAGTATTTAATATATGTTATCAGACAGGGAGTAATAATATACTAAACAATATAATCAAATAACTTTCAGACAACTTAGGATTGACCAAAGGATTCTACTATAACGATATAAGAGAAAACAAGGACGCACGATTTTAAGAGACTAAATTTGATTGGATTAGACAGTGGATATAAAATGGTTGTATACGTGGATATCGTTTCTTTATAAGATTTCCATCAACATAAAGTCAAAAGATGATGACATTTTGACAATAATCAGATAACTCCTGATTTTGATACACGGAGAAGACATGATGGAAAGATAGACTTTAAGAGATTAAATTTGATTTGAATAGACAATAAATATAAAGGTTATTTAAAGGATTGTGTATGTCTCAGATAAATATAAAGACAGGGGATAAAAGGATAAAAGTTTTTAGGTATCATGTTAGAAATAAAGACGCAAGAGGCTATATAACCAAATATATCAAATCCATTATACAAGAAGAGTAGACAAAGGCGTTATTATAAAGCTAAAAATCTTTAATCTTTATAGATAGTGATATTCATTTTAACTTCGGTCTCTGTAAGAGTGATTAATTTATTTCTGATTAATCATTAGATAACGAAAAGACTTATTTATGTTAATCAAATATTATAACACAACTAGATTCGAAATGAACAAACATGATGCAAAACTTCAAAAGGGGTATCAGACTATGTAGAAATCCTAGAGCAGAGGTAAGAATCACAGACAATTAAAATGGGCGTATTTACTAATATAAACAATTTCGGGTCCCAACGTTGGGGTATGCGTGAGATGTGTATCCGAATTAAGAATTTTGAGGGCCTGAAACATTCCATAATAATATAGTGTAATTTCAAAATTCCAGAAAAAAAATTGGCAATTGAAATTATTTCATCTAGATCACATTGTATTTATAATGGCAAAGCTTACATGATAAGCTATTCCAATATGGCGTTTTTATATACTCAGCCAAATTAAAAACTTGACACTGATGAATTTCAACAATTTTTTTTTTCTGGTAAGTCAAATAAATTTTAAAGTGTTTCTAACGATAGTAAGTAGTAAGAAGCCTTTAATTTCATAAAATTGTAAAGTCACGTGGATCACGTGACTTTTGAGCATATAAAGATGAAAAACCTGAAAAACACGTGCAAACACAAACTCGTGAGGTCAATCGATGCAAGTTTGCTTAAACTGAACACACACACGTAACTTGAACTGGAAAAACAAATTAAAATTGTTATTTTCATCTTTGTTAGAAAATTCCGCTCCTTTCAAATGTAGAACGTCTACGTGCTATAGGTAGGCTCTATGCTGGTCAGTCTGTGGTCACTGTTGCAAGAGCCTTTAATTGTTCACGCCAGACAATAATTAATCTTAGAATGAGAGTGCTTCAAACTGGAACTATTGCCGACCGCCCAAGGGCGGGAGCGCCACGTGTGACGTCACTCCAGGAAGATCAAGCAATACGATTACGTCATCTTAGAAACAGATTTGTCACTGCAACTTCCACAAGTAGAGGGATGTTTGGTGGAAGGGTAACTGCACAAACTGTTCGAAATCGCTTGCAGGCTGCTGGTCTTCGAGCTCGGAGGCCCTATAATGGACCAATATTGACACCTCTTCATCGCTGTAACCGACTTGTGTGGGCCACAAGACACATAAGATTTACTCAAAGACAGTGGAATTCGGTTGTCTTTAGTGACGAATCTCGATTCACTTTGAGATTTGCCGATGGCAGGGCCCGAGTGTACCGCAGACGAGGTGAACGTTACGCTCAAGTATGCGTCAGAGAAGTTGACCGATTTGGTGGCGGCAGCGTCATGGTTTGGGGTTCTTTTTGTGCACATGGACGTTCTCCTCTTGTTGTTGTCCAAGGGAACGTAAATGCTGTCCAGTTCAGATTTTGCAACCTGTTCTTCTTCCGTTTATGCAGAGACATGGGCCTGGACTAACGTTTCAACAAGACAATGCTCGACCCCATACAACAATTGCTACCCAGAATTTTTTAAGAAATGCCGGTGTCTAAGTCCTGGATTGGCCGTCGCTTAGCCCCGACCTTAATCCTATTGAACACATCTGGGACGAACTGGGTCGACGTGTTCGTCAGCAAGTGAATCCACCATTGACGTTGCGGGACCTTAAACATCATGCTCTTGCTGAGCAGTGGCGACGTCTTCCTCGGGTAGTGTTCACTAATGTTCTGAGATCCATGAGAAGACGTTGTGTGGCAGTACGAGACGCTAGAGGAGGCCACAACCGTTACTAAACACTTTATTCCGATTGTTCTCCAAGTCTGTAAATTTCATTTTGGGGGGTACTGTGACATCACGAACGTTATCAATGTCAAGGACTTTCGGCGAGACGTATTCTTGCTTTCTGTTGATGTCAAGGTCGACTGTGCACAACATAACACTAAAATAGTTGCCTTAAACCAAATATTAAAAATCTAGTCCCAAAAATCCCGAGTGTCAAGTTTTTAATTTGGCTGAGTATATTTTATCGCGAATTTGTTTTCTGGTGTATGTGAACTAGACTATATAGGAACAATCAAGTGCAACAGACATCTAACAAGTAATGTAGTATCAATGTAATGAAAAAAACAAATCATTTTCTGTGAAACTTTCGTCTTCAATCAAATCGAGTCGCCAATCATGACAGAAAAGAATTGTATTCATACTCTTAAACACGTATCTCTGAACACGTGGTCTAAATATCCATGTGATCACATATCTTTGATGGCAGCTTCTCCCTGTCATTTTCAGATTGGTTACTCTAAAGCCCCACAAAAATTTACATAGTGTAACAAACAATATATATGGATAGTGTGCTATTAATAACCATGGTCCAAGATCCTGGAAATGAAATGAAATGGGCTTCAGCCATATTTTTACTAAACCAACAGGGCTGATGCAGACTGACATACGCCACACAGAGAGCCATGTGGTAGAATTTGCCATGGCAGCGACTTATCGTTTCACTACTTTGAATCGAGCTTCCTGGTAAAAGATAACAATTATTGTAATTGTGTGTCAATGTTCATGTTCAATTGTGTGCTCACTTTGGGTTTATACACAACCTTCTTTCCAATAAACAAAGATATTACTTTAAGACTAATTTGTTTTTAATTAAATTTAATATAACATTTAATTACATGAAACTCGTATATTACAATAACTCGTATATTACAATTATTAATTCATATATTACAATATAACTCATATGTTATAACCATGAATAACAGGTATGTTGTTATAATAACAAATGATAACATCTGTATACAAATAAAAATGTATATAATACAAACAAAAATTAAACATTACAATTAACAACGCATTTTAACTCATATACAAGTCAAATGCCAGAGTTTATTAATTCTATTACTTGGGTATTAACCGATCATGGTCTGTAGATTTAATAGGGTTTCATTCGTACTTACAATTATTGCCTACAGTATACCCAGAGGAACAATGTCTCCAGTCGGCTGGTCATGGGCTAGGGGGTATAAGTTTTAATATAATATGGAATTATGAAATATATATTTTTGTGATCGACATGTGTAAATATAGTATGAAGATATTGTCTTATTACTTTACAAAAATTCATTTTATTCTGTACATATTTAATAACGTTGGTTGCAAAGTGGGAACACAAACTACATATAAAACACCGATATTTTGTAAATCATTAGGAAAGGGTTTTACAAATAGGCCCTGCCTCTACCCCAATCTTTAATCAGAAGCTATCTGAATGAAAAAAAAAACAACGTTTATAAACAATCCCATTGATATGCCTCCTTTAAAGATATTAATATAAAGCAAAGTATTATACAGTATCGAATGTTTAATACTCAAATTATAGGAACAGTTAATAGGTAACTACTCTGATTATCAAACAGCTCTTTAAGAAGGCAATTTCTAATATTACTAGAATTAAAATAATAGCAAAAATATTTTTATTATACCCATGGTTTATCAAACCACTATTTTAGAATGTAAGAATTACAAGAATTAAAGTAAAAAGTATTGTTATTATCCTCCAACGATTCAAACTATAATGAAATGGGTTTAAGAGACACTAAGCTAAAACTACAGTAACAAGTTAGATTGTATGTTTTAAAGTGCAATAAAAGAGTGGTACTAATATATTTAGTAGTTTCAAGCTGCTCAATGAAAACTCGTTATAAATATCTTATTATAAGTAGACCAGTGCTTGGATTTATGATAATTAGTACCTTTATTTTCTTCTGTCGATTCTGTCACCTGATGCGCTGTATTTTATAATAACTTACGTAACTTCTATTATACAATACTGTCAATAATTAAAGATACATTATGGGAGATGAGATAAAGAGCTGGTAGTTCTCACTATAATAGTTAAAAACTAGATAATGTAAAGGGAATTTTCTGAAAATTTCAGTCAAAGTGATCCACTCTGAACCGAGATTTTAGCGATTGAGTTTTCGGGCTAGCCTCGATCATCATTACTAAAGCCGATGCGATAAATAACATCGTCTCGATTATCCATTTCATGATTAAATCTTGAATGAAAGTCGAACAGCAAATCGGGACCTAATTCAATAAACATCGCAGTCTAGCGATGACATCGAGAGTTGATTATGGTCTGGATAAGTTAATTAAAGATACATTATGGGAGATTCGATAACGAGTTGGCAGTTCTCACTATAATAGTTAAAACTAGATAATGTAAAGGCAATTTGCTGAAAATTTCATTCAAATTGATCTACTATGAACCGAGAACTAAGAGGTTGAAATTTCCGGCTAGCCTTGATCATCATTACTAAAGTCAGTACGATAAACAGCATAGTCTCGATTATTCAATCGTGAAGGAAAGTTATGCAGTAAATCGGCTCACAATCCATTATAGATCGCAGGCTAGCGATGCCATCTAGAGTTGATTAGGGTTTGGATAGGTTAATTAATGTCTAATTAATAATTTAGATAACATTTCAGACCTAACGAAAGACCTGCAATAGACAGATTCAGCTCTTGCATAATGTATGTTTAATCATTTCAGTCATAAAATTAATCTTAAATTGAAATAGAAACACATACACAAACTAGGTTATTTCGGGACTAACATAAGGTTCAATTAATTTCAATAAATCGCTTGCACGTAGGGGTCTTTAGCAGTGGACCCGGAGAAAACGCATACAGTTGGACAGGCGACTTTAAGCCTTGCCGCATAAACGCGGAGATTCAAACTCACACCACATGACTCAATGACAGACCTCATGATTCAACGAGCATGCATTAACCATTCGGCTATCAAATCCCCCAATTATCACAAAATGAATCTGTAACGATGCTAATTGTAAAGAGCTCATCGATGGTTGTTTAATTTGTGAAATAAACTTAAGTTAAAAGAATGTGAGTGAAATAAACTCAAGCTATAAGAATATAAGAACAGTGGAATGTAAAGCATTATTTACAATATAAGTACGGTCTCTCTGATTGAAAGGGTAAGATATAAACGCCCCTCATTTATTTGCTTTTCATATGATTAAGATTGTCATTATTGTATACGAATAGTTAATGTGACTTATTAAAGTGCAGTACGATGGAGATTTAGTTGAGGTTATTTAAAATAAGGCTGAACAATGTGACGTAAATGTATCACACTAAACACAGCTCGTACACTTGGGTGGATACGTCATATTTTCTTCTCCCTCATCACATTTTCTACTAATTAAAGGAGTTGATTCAATCACATGACAGTTCGCTTTGTAATAGTCAGCCTTAGCATCGTGTGGTTCATCGTCTCCACCTATCGTAAATTTTAAACGACGCCGCCTTGATGACGAGCGTCGTAATAGCTCAGCACTGCTCGGTCCGACAAAAAATCCGTTAGGTTGTAATAGATTGGATCCCGATGGAGTGCCCGTCAAGCTACCGTTACAGGCCATTTTGTCCGAACGCTGAACGTCCGGTGAGTCCTCCCTTGAATCCAGTCCACCACTGAGTCGTTTATCTCGAATTCTCCTTTTTTGGAAAGATCCGCCAATAAAGAAGGGAACAGCCGAGGAATGTGTAACATTCTGGAATCGTCTACGACGTTTCTCAATATCTTCACCAACTATCCAGTATGTTATCTGTTCCCCTTTTCCCTGTAAAAATGAACAAGATTAAGTCCAAGTCAGTTTCGAAAATATATGTTTTGAAAACCCATATGGAAATACATGTCAAGCTTAGTGTATATATATATACGTGTGATTTAATTATTGATATGATTGATTTACAAATTATTGATCCTGACAGATAATAAAAATAAAAAAGATTAACAGAAATAACACGAACCTGGGAGATAAAAAATGGAATATAACATCTTCTGAGCGATATAGGGAGATATTTCATTCATAATAAAGAAGAACAAACTTTATGTCTTTATTTCATTAATTCTGTTGCATTTTATTGCAACTAAGATCGCCAAATCGTGGTTGCAAACATTTTCAAAATATCTTAGGGCATCGTTTTGAGTGCGTGTCACTTCTTCTTTAATATTAAATTTCTTACAAACATTCTCATAATCGACCGTACAAGCTGCCGTATTCAGGTGAACGTTAACAGTGACGCCAAGAATGGTATGTAAACTGTTTTTTGATTTGTTCATCAAGGGCAGTTAATTTGAATTCATAAAAACCACGTGAATGGACCCAAGGGTTAGGGGGTAGAATGGGGCGATGCCTCTGGGAATACCGAGGCCGGGGGATCTTTTCTCGCCAGCGCTACCCTTCTCCCGCAGAAAATAACATTAATGAACGGTGAATTTGAGTAAAGTCAGGAAACCCTACCGACACACTTTCCCCATACCAAAGTATCTTTACCCACCTTCATATTAACGACACCCCTCTCCATGACATCATAACCACCAATGTTATCCAGATGATCCTTGACTTGTTGCGAACAGTGAATCTTTAAGGCTAAACAAATAACAAGGACGAAACATTTAGAAATTAATTTTCAGAAATTACTGAGAGATATTGCTTGCCAATCTTGTGCAATTTGTACAGCAAAAACAAAACAAACAAAAAAACAAACAAAAACATACATGACCACATAGTACAAAACGATGGAGAAACAGGAGTATTTCATGGTAGACATTTTTAAAAAGAAATAATAGATCAGTTCGTAGAATCAATCTACGATCAAAGGCAGATAATTTGAATTCGGGGAAAACCCGTGGATGGATCCAGGGTAGAAACGGGACGATACCACTGGGGATGCCGAGAATGACGGACGCGTGACAGTTGTAGGCATATAAAAATGATTATCCTTATGTATACTATAGTCGGGGCAGGTTAATCTCGAAAGTGGAATGACCCAAACAAATCGCAAAAAGAAACAATGCAGTTTATTCAATAATACATATGTCAAATTTGGAAAAGGGCGAAAGGGTAATTAACATAATTCAATATGGCGGTCTCCAGGACGCTTCTGAGAACGATATCTTGTAACCAGTGCGTATCAGTGGTGGGACAATAAATATTATACATTTTTTTTTAAAATCTTACAATACAAAGTGGTTCTAGAGGCGAAATGTTTGATAACTCTTTTTAAATCACATTTTCTAAGTACGTCCTGATGTTTCTAGTTTATGAACAAATTTTAAGTGTGACGATCTTATCAGAAATTAATTTTTGAGCCCAATATTGAATTCGGTAACCCTGAAAACCTTATTTTACAAGCAATATCCACAAGAACAAAAATCCCCATTTTGGATTCTATTTTGATTGTCATTTTTGGGTAGAAATTGAACTCAGCAACCTCAAAACCCTTATATAAGACATATTATAAGCCATGTCCAATGGAAGCAGATGGCGATTAATTAAATTAAGCCATTTTGCATTTCCTTTTGGCGGCCAGTTTCAATTTCTGCCATCAAGGAATTCATTTTTTAGATCAGAATTGAACCGTAAATGACATGTTACAAGGCATATCTAACAGGTAAAAATCCGCCATTTTGGATTCCATTTTGTTTGCCATTTTGAATTGATGCTATGTTGGAGTTTCGAAATCTACCTTTAAATTTAAATTTAGAGACCTCTAAAACCATATAAAAGACATAGTAAACGTCATATCCTACAAGATCCTCGCTGTTTATAGGGGGGGGGGGTGCTATTTTGTTACCAACTTTGGCAGCAACTTTGAAAGAAATAGCCAACATCATGTGAAAAATACAATTTTGTTAATTTGGTTTTTGTCAAATTCGTTTTTCCGTACGTTTCTCGTCTATAACCACCACTAAAACACACTAGTTACGAAACTTCCTGTAGACCGCCATACTAAATTATGTTAATTGTTTAATTTCGCCTTTTCCGAATTCGGCCGAATTTGTGTATATCTTTGAACCAAACTGCATTGGTTTCTTTTGAAATGTGCTTGGGGTAAAACGTTATCTCTCCCAGCATATACAGTAAAATATCAGATGTAGCGACCAGAATCAAATAAATTCACAGATTCTGTCCAACTATTATCTCAACTGTGATTGGGTAACAACCTCAGTATACAGATTGTTCGTTTTCATATACGCTGGTTATTTTTAATTTGGTCTTACAGATTAGTTAACAAAATGGTGACCACGACTGCAATTGGCCTGATCTTCTTTATATGTGGCTCTGGTTGCGGCTAATTGAAACAAAACACATCATGTTCTTGTTAGAGTTGTTATTCTCCCTCAAGAGAAAATTGTGTTGAAACACAAGTATATAAAAAGATCTTTGGTAACGAGAATAGACACCATTGGAGAGTTACTCATCGGTTAGTTATTAATTATATGAGAAATTGTACAAGGTAGTCCTGTATGAGGTCGGAATATAACCGATTGCGTGTAATGGATACCAGATGACGAGCAAATGTAATTATATTCTGATACTCGCAGAGACAACACCAAATAGAATAAGGCAATCAACTCTCCGGAGACAATCGGGAGTCATTTTATTAATCACGCTAGAGGTTGCATCTAAAATGATACTGTGTGTTGCGTTCTTTGATACGATGCTGTAACAACATAGATAATATCAAGCATAAAACATATCGTTTATCATCGTTTATGCAGTAAAGCAAATTTATATGAAACAGAAAAGATGCCTGCGATCGTAACAATGGATTGTATAATTTGTATTGCATTAATTTGAATAGATATACATTCCAATTAGTCCATTACTCATCGATTTATCCATATTTTCTGTCATCAGGAAAGGATATGTATATATTTTAAGGAGTTGGCCCATCTGCTTGTATATTGTGGCAAAACGCTACTCGCATCCATTTATCCTGGCGGACCAAAAGAGTGGCGATATTCCTTGCCAGAGTTAACGGAAAATTTGCAGCTCAATTTAATAAAATTTAAAACAATTAAAACATTTGCTATAACTGTTTTAGTCTCGCTACACTAAACTAACTCCACTTGATGTTACTTTTATTTTATTACGTACAGAAAAAGATTTCAAGCCGCAATTGTTTATTTGTAATACTAAATAATATCCTTTGAAATTGTCAACTGGTATAGTTGTGATCCCGTGGCTTGTAGAATTTTAACAGAGGTTTCTAGAAAGTGTTTAAAGTTGATTCTAATAGACATATTTATCTATCTATTGCTAGATATAGAAATAGGTGGTCCATCTCCTTTGAACTAAGCACATTGTGTGGGAGGTGCTGTTCAACTGAAATTTGCGCTATTCTAAACGACACAGTTTAAATATCTACATTTAATGCCAAATGCCAAAACTTATCTAATCAATTTAAATGATAGATGTCTGGATGCTATCCAATTGTCCAGAACTTCAAATAAGAACCCAAACAAACATTCGGTCTTCAGGAAACAATTTAATAATAGTTAACTTCGCTTGGTCGATTTCAAGTTAATCTCGGTTAACTAGTCCTTTGACAATACACGTAGACTAAATTATAATGCAACAGAAGTCTCAGGGTACTTATATTTATCAAAACTTTATTTATATCGACATTCCATCCGTCCATAATTTGCATTTCAAAAAATGTATTCAAACGTTACCTCTTGTGATTTTAGCCTCTATTTCTGGGCTCTTATTCACGAAAACTTAAACTAAGATACAATCGAAATTTTAAGAAATACTGCAATTCGATTGGCTGACCAATATGCAAATTGGATATATGCAAATTGATTTTACTGGTCAGCCAATCGAATTGCAGTATTTATTAAAATTTCGATTGTATCTTAGTTTAAGTTTTCGTGAATAAGGGCCCAGGACACATTTGCAGGAAATGGCGCCTCAGTTTTTTTTCCCGAGAGGTAACATTTTCTATGATTGTAGAGTTTGTGAGCCATTTTAGATAGCATCTGGTTTGCATGTTCATCCAGATTTTCCGGCGTGGTTTCCCCTCGTCAGTGATGCAGGACGGAGGGCCTGACAAGGACAGCTGTCTAGTCGTTTGGATGGGACGAAAGACCGAGGTCCCGTGTACATATTGGCGTGCACGTAAAAGATCCTTTGGCAGTTGGAATTCTATATAAGAGTAGACCGTAGCGCCGCTGCCCGGCAAAATTTCCCTCATAGCACACTGTATGGCGTAAGCCCGTCTTCATTAGACCTGGTTAGGAGCAGAACAGTAGGACGTTAAACCCCATTTTATTTCATTTTCACTTTGGTTTGCAGATTTCAAATAAGTGAATGGAATGGGGTTTAACTTCCTACTTTTTTCCACTAACCGGGATAATGACGACGGACATACGCCATACGTTGTGCTATGAGGGCAATTTTGCCCGGACAGGAATTGAATTCCAACTATCAAGGGTTATTGTACGTGCATGACAACGTATATACGATATGTGGGCTTTTCGACCCATCCGAACGACTAACTTTTTACTTTGTCAAACATAGTTATGGTATATCGTTCGGATTTCGACAGAATAAGAACACGTTTAACGTTAAAGTCTCTTAACGTATTTAAATTGTTTTATCGGTCGTTATGTGACAATCTAGTGTTCAATAATTCTCAGATTCAAGTTAGTCATTAGTTACATTACCTTCTCCGTGTGATTCCATTCTAGATGCAGTATTTACAGTATCACCGAATAAACAAAACCTGGGCATCTTCAATCCAACTACACCGGCAACGCATGTTCCAGAATGAACCCCAATCCGTAATTTTAATTTATCATCGGGTCTATGACGAATCTTGAATTTGCCAATAGCTTCCAGTAAGTGTAAGGACATGGATGCAATCTCCCCTGCGTGATTAATGCCGTTTGGTTTAGGTAATCCACTGACTACCATGTAAGCATCACCAATTGTCTCTACTTTATATACATCATAATATTCTATGATCGAATCGAACAGTGTATACAGATCATTAAGTAGACCAACAACCTATAATAGATAAATATAATAAACTATTAATTTAAAGTCTGGTCGTCATTTAAGAGATTTTGAAAATCTGTCAGACAAAGATGCTGTGTAAAATGGATCTCTAAAATGAACATAAGTCCAAATATAATTCATTTCCGTTCAGAATTTACACAGTTATGATGAACTGAATATTTGTCAAAATTCAGCATCCTCTTTAGATATTATGGTCAAAACAAGCTAGCACCAACTATTATCAGCTGTTTAAAGGCATACGATTATCTTCTCTCTGTAAATTTTATTCATTTCATTTGTTAGATTAAAACCGATGATCATCATCTGGGAGGGATTTTAATCCACTGAAAACTACAATATTGTGAATGTAGAATCTCTAAAAGGAAATAACAATCCAAAAATGGTTGAAGTATCCAGTATTTATAATTACAACGATATTATGAATTGGAAATTTCACAACATTCGGCATCCTCTACAGACGATATAAACAAGCCAGCGTCACCTATATTTACTACCATAAACTCAGACATTGTTCACTGTAATACAACTAATATAAGTGATAAGCATAATTACTACTACATTTATTCAAATATACGGGAAATGTTTTTGGGTGGCGGGTTACATAGATTTGACAAAAATGGGAATAGTGTTTCTAAAATCGTAACCGGCATATGATTGGCAGATGAACAATTTCATTTTTAATACAGTATAAGGCGTACGGACATTACGAGTGTCTATCAAACTGTCCATTTGTTGTGTCCATGATGGCAATATTTAATTATGTTTGAGTAAACAAAAATCTAGAATAATGTGATCACGATGCATGGATCATAATAGATTATAAAAATATAAATATAATTATACATTATATAAACATAATAATACATTATATAAACATAATAATACATTATATAGATATAAATATAATTGGATTTGAAATAATATAAAATAACTTGCAGCAAATCAAAATCAATAAAATTATATCTTATACATCCAATTCGGCACAAATGGCTCTATATTTCTACAGTGCAATAATCTCTTTAGTTTCGTATTATATTTCTGATGATTGTACAGCCAGAGGTACATACTGACATAGTCTGGTTTACCACCACTTTTACTGCAAGACACTTCATTTAATGGATTCCCCGTGGGCATCTAAATGCATAGCTTAAATCATGATAAACCATTTATCTTAGCAAATATCTTTCAAATGTTGAAATTGAAATTTAGACAATGGATCGTGTGTAATTGGGTATATAAAAAAGAGTTTCGAATTGTTGCGAGTATTTTACTTTTGTAAAAGCCCTTAGAGTTATCTGCGAAATTTATCCATGGAGTGATATTTTGTAAAGAAGACTGGATATCCATTACATGCTGAATAATGAAATTTTGATATATCTTGACTAACGGGAAGGGAACGACCAACATCTAGCGACGTCTGTGTATAAATATACTCGGGTTAAAAGTCAGTTAATCAATAAGATGAGTGGAAAGTAACCAAAATAAGTTTAATCATCCCTCAGGGACTACGTTATAGGCACGGAGATACTATCTTCGTTTTTCAGCTTACTGTAACTTTTTATAATACAAGAAAGGGGTCGATTTGACACATAATAAATACGAATTCTTAGATCCTATAAATATTTAAAGTGGATCAAAAGTGGAATATGTGATTGTGTCTGAAGTTGGATTATAAAGATGTCCGCAGACTATTTCTATGGACCGTCTTGCTTCAATTAAAAGAATCCGACCTAAAGGCAGCAACCAGGCGCAACATGCCTTTCAATTTGCTTGGGAACCTATAATGTGGATTATGCAAAAGATGGGCAGCGGATGATTACCGGTATTTCATAAAGTGTAGGCGCCCATAGGCTAAAAGTAAATCTTGACTAAACAATCCGCTCATTGCGAATTCTGAAGAAACTAAATTGGTGTGGTGTGACGATCTACAAACCTGCATCGGTGTACTCTCTGACGACATGGCAGTAAAACCACAAATATCACTAAAATAGATTGTTACAGATTCAAAGGCTTCTGCTTCAACTTGTTTACCAGACATCAACTGATCAGCTACAGAACTGAAACACGGATGTTAAAATCATATTTCAGTTACTAGATATGGATGGATATGTTACTGGAGGAAAGTTGGGCAGATGAAAATAAATGTATAACTGCTGTTTATGAAGTACCTTTTATGGGGTGTTGCCGTCCGTATGTAAAAACGCTTTCAAGGTGATTGTAAGGAGGTTAAAACATTTATTCGGATCAGGATGTTGATCGAGATCGGTCCTTGGCGAAGTTTCCTGTTGTCAGTGGTGCGGAATGGAGGTCCCGTGTACACGTTGACGTGCACGTAAAAGAACCCTTGGCAGTTGTAATTCGAAATAAGAGTAGGCCATAGCACCGCTTACGGGGTAAAACTTCCTTAATAGCATACTGTATGGGGTATGTTTTTTAGCCCACCATTTCTTTTCAGAACATTTATCTACAAGAATATAACATTACGCAAACTTATAAATCAAACTTATATATATTACAACTAAAAAAACGAGCTAGCGTGCACCTGCAGTATATTTTCAAAGCAACATATTACAAAGTCGACATATCTTCTACCTAGTTAATGTCCCACAGAACACTAATGGTCATAAATCGCGTGGAAAAACATGTCTCTAGATAAAAAAAGCTATTATACGAAAATTTTATATTTATAAAGCTAATTTTGTCCTGTTAAAAATTGGATTAAAAGAACAGTGGCGATATTTCTTTATTGATTGGGCCAATATTGTTTGGTAACCGTTAGCTGTTAGCGGAATAATTTGTTGTTTATTTTTTTTAAATGAAGGTTTAAGTATACAACACACTGGAACAACGGCCGTTTACTCAGAATGGCGCCGGTTTACTAACTAGGGGGTCCATGTTTCGATCACGGCGGTGGCCGATAAAGTTCCTTGGGATTTTCCAGAATGGTTTCAGCAAGCAGGACGACGGATCTGGCGAGGAAAGAGTGTCTATTCGTTTGAAAAACCGAGGTCCAGTCGTGTGTACGTAAAAGATCTCTTGACAGTTGGAATTCGATGAACAGATAGGCGACAAAGCCGCTGTCCAAACAAACTCCCCCCCCCCCCCCTCAGCAGACTGCATACCCGATTTATGTAGAACAGTACCACCATCCTTTATTGTATTGTAATTCATTATCTGAAATGCTGTAGATACACGAGTATTCCTGGGGGAACAAGCTCAGGAAAGTATGAACAGGCACATTAGGTTTACATTTACACTGAAATCACTTAAACAAGAGGCCAACTAAACCTTGTAAATTCAATTATTTGTGTACAGCAGGACAAAAACGCAGACGGGCGGACGTAAGGAAATTAAGCCTTGATCTTAACGTTTTGTTGTTTTTACCTTGGCAGCATTTGATGTAATAATTCTTCTGTTTTTTTCTTTTCTTGTATTAATTGATCTGTTCTGTCTTCTACCAAAGCTTCAAGGCTGTCAGCGTATTTTTCCATTATGGCCAGCATGTTATCAAAGATATTAGCTTTCCTGTAAACACAATTCTCACACTATATAATCGGATTATTCACATTAAAGAGGAAACAATATATTGATAGCCAAACCACAATGATTATAAAGTAATTTTGTTATATCATCTGCTATTGAATTTTCTAGTTTGTTTGACCTTTGCAGCCAACACGCGTCTTTCGGCAAAATTGATATGATTATAAATAATAACTGCGTTTCTTAGAGAATAATCTTTGTTGATCTTTGTTGGATTACGTGTTCAATGAGTGATATCTCAGTGAGAAGAAAACATTATGTTAAAAAAAAGCAATTGTACCAGTTTCTTCCTTGTGGTTGTTATTAATCGCCGACATAAAAGAATTGCAATCGTCATCGTCTGCACAGATTACTCACGAGTTAAGACCATGCGTCACAAGCTGCATGTTTGCCAGTCAGTTTTAATGTACCATTCCAGTATAAAACTAATAAAACCTGCACTGATGTGATATATTTCAAAATGGCAGCCATATTGGATGGCACACATTTTTGATTTTCACGAAAGAGGGTGAGCTGGGGATGGGGTTTAACGTCCACTCGACACACACTAGATCATTTCGGGACTAACATGGTTCAGTTTTATTTCAATAATTCGCTTGCGCGTAGGGATCTTTAGTGGAGAGGGGAAACAAGAGGACCCGGAGAAAACCCACTAGGTTGGACAGGCGACCCTGCTCCTTAAGTCACGCACAAATGGGAACTCGAAACCACGTCAGTTGACTCAATGACAGACTTTATGATACAGCGCGCACGCGGCATCCACCCACCCCCACCCCTTTCACAAACGGAAACATTGCAAAAGTAGGCGCTATTTAGGTATCAACCCACCAATTTTGTCGAAGACTTAACCTTACAAACGTTCTATGACTGGTGTGCGTCCTAACACAAAGTGATGCTAGTATCTGGTATCAACCTCTGTATAATATAAGATATAACGGAATGGTCTATTAGGTGGAAACGTAATCTAATTGACTATTATTGTTTTACCGAGCGAGTTTTTTCGCTTTACCTACAAAATAACCAGTCAATCTTAACTAAAATCCTTATACGCATTTAGTAACTGAACATACGATATAAAACACAAATTTATATGGAAAACAATCACTGAGTTTATTTCAAACTACGTTGATTGTTTTTCATAAAAATTTGTGTTTTATATCAATCTTAACTACAATATAAATAAAAAGATCGTTGTTTAGCTTGTTCACCCGGTACCCTTCACTTTCTTACTTGTGCATAGGACTCGAAAGAAAAGACGCGAGTGACGTATATATCTGGATCCTTATTTCTCGATGAACCTATTCTATAACAGCAAATAATTGATTTATGTTGCATCACTTGTACTGAGTTAAAGCGGCTTTAATGTTAAGCTGGTCGTCTTGAGTGCAAGGAGATTTACATCCTAACGGCTTGTTATTGTCTGTGCATTGGAATATCTGATCAGATCAACTGAACTCATAACATCTTAAAGCTTATAAGGAATAATAATATTAGGTAATTTCGGGACTAACATATGCTTTAATTTTATTTCATTAATTCGCTTGAACATAGGGGTCTTTAGCAGTAGGGGGAAACTTTAAACAAAACTTTATACAAAACAAAGTATTAATAATAGATTTAAAGACTGCACACTTAGAAAGTTGCACACAAGAAATCAGTCTAAACAAACTGAGGCCGTTTTTTAGTCAGAAACTGAACCCAAGAGCTATAGTACACATCTTGGGAGCTCTGTGAAAATTGGCATACTCGTTCCTAGGACATGTAGCTTACAATTTCGCATCGATAGACGAACTTTGATTTTAGATATGACGCAACAATTCCAAGATGGCTGCGACAGCGTCATGATCGGTTCCTGATCCATATAGTACTACGATGCATGACAAAACACGACATGCAGTCATCATAGACCTATAACAATAGTAGTATTCATAGACAATAGTAACAATAATTATAGGAAATATATTGATCAGAATGAAATACTATAGAACCACATGTTACATCTAATATCACAACTGATCATAACATTAACATAATCATTACCATTAATGGTAAGCTACAATATTTATGGGCGACGGTGACCGTAAATAACTAGTAAACCCGAACATTATTTCCGTCAGAAAAATGTATACATACAATTCATTATGTATTCCAAGATGCTATGAAAACTCATGTTTATTATTCTATGTTAAGTTCATAAAAAATTTCAGACATAGGTAACTAAGTCTATTTCTTGCTACGTGTGTTCTACGTCACAGCTTATTTGTTTAAGAAGATTTTTTTCTGTCATGCGGGTCTCTTTTAAATAGTACAAGCCGCTCGGTGGTACTCTCTGATTATAAACTTGTTTTGGAGCCTTGGTAGTAGACAACTTGTTAATCGTCTCCAATAGACCCCCCCGTCTATAATCTAAAACTACGTCTCATAGATGGGTGTACCTTCCAGTATTGATGTTAATAAACTGTATTTCCCTCTAAATGAATTGTCGTTGGGGGAAAGAAGATTATTAGTGTGTGTAGGAAAGCGTTGGGACGCATTGAGCAAACGCCTACATTCTTATTTGACGTATAGACTTTACTCTTGCAATTCTGAATGTAAAAACATCAGAAAACAATGACAACGCCTGTTTTCACAATGTCGTAAACGCACTATACAGATCAGTTCTCACCACGGAAAATTGCGTTTTAATGGTGCAGACAAGCGGTAATAAGGTTTCGGTACAACTCAAACAGTTCCGTGGAAGACGCAATTATATGCCAAGGTTGAGACCTGAGGCACGGGCCCGTAGACGAGATGGTTTGCTTGTGCCTCCGCATCCAAATAATTTGCAATGGACCATTTGTATATTACATTCTGAAATCTACCTATATGTACCAGAACCGTCGCCAGGGTCCACTAGAGATCGACCAAGGGATTGCACGCTACCAGTTTCCCGTTCTACTGTTACTGTAAGAAGTACACACGGTTTCATCAATGCTGACACTGTTGGCTGTTTGCCAGACGGTCCCAAAATTCTGGCTCGATGCCGTTATTGACTTCAAAATTTTACTCCTTGTGCAACTTTCACCGTAAAGTAAAATTGTTTTATATATATATCGAATGTAAGACAACGACACAGGGACTCACGGCATTGAAATCGGGATATAAAACCGCAACACTAGAGCCTTCATAACACTTTGGATGATCAAAGGCAGTAACTATTATTGTAATAATCATAATCCGATGGGTTTCTTTCTCCCAATAAAAATACCGTTTCCCATAGAAAACTAAAAGCACAACGATTGGAAATTATTTTTATTCGGCAGATCTAATTGTCGCACTAACCGAAACAAGACAAATACAAACTTCAAATAAATCAGATGATAACATTTGCCGCCACAGCATTCACAAGATTCTCTACCAAGATAACTTTAGATGAAATCATCAGAAACTCTACATCAAAACGTGTAATTGTCTCACAAATGTTATCAGTAGACTTGAGTAACAATAATGAACATCCATGTGGCCGTGAAAAAATGAAACCAAAAATCTAGATCAGTAAACTACACAAACTAACTGTACAGCCCAAAACTCCATTTCGACCTAAATCAAGACAGTCTCTCTCTCTCTCTCTCTCTATTTTAATTATTCCACAGGGGCTATTCCAGACACCACTCCCAGCACGTATATAACAGCGTTAATGTCCGGGAAGAGTGTTTCTGGACACGAAAGAAATATAAAACATAAATTATGAGGAAACTTTAAGCATTTAAAGGCCATTTTTAAAGACGTGTGTTTCGCCTCCTTCTGTTAATTATAAGTAATATGGTAAACCGAACAACCAGTATTATAAATTCCAGTCCAAGTGATTATACACAGAATCCAATACAGACGTAGCTTCATTGGTGGAATGAAATTATAGGAAGCCTCGGACGACCTTTGACCGGTGTAGAAAATGAAACAACGTCAAATATATATAATGTCGTGCACGTTTCATTTAACTGGTAAACCAAAGTCAATTTGCATCACGGCATGTGGATTAAATGAACAGGGTACTCGTGTCTGACAAGACCACCCCTAGGGACATCCGCGCGTCAGCAAAAGACACTGTTCAGCTAGCGTTAAATCATTTCCACACAATATAATTTTTTTCAATAATCAGTGTGCTAATATGATGTAATCTAGCGAGAGGGGGTAAATGTCGTATAGATTATGTGATTAGAGAATGAACTACTCGAACTCATTACTAGACGATAATAGGGCTGTAGATTAGAGATATTTACCTCAAACTAGACTGTCTGCACAATTGGAAAGAGAATAAAAGATAAAAGATGGGATTATTTGCGACAACCGAACTAAATGTAGCACCTTCCAAATAGCCACGCTGTTCTCCGATATACTCCCAAAAAGTAAAGGAAAAACATAATTAATGATCTAATGAATTGCAATATGTTTGAGACTCACAGCAATTTGAACACGCTCTACGAGTTTTAATACCTAAAACCACTGAAACATGAAGAGAGCAAAACAATACAATTGACTGACATTCAACCCTTTAATTCGATAAGGTCTTGACTAATGCCAATCACAATAATTCTAAAAACTGGTCAATCCATCCAATGACAAGAAGTTTACAATGAAAATCTAACAAACCAGAGAGCGTTTGCTAAAGTTTGGTGACAAGGGCAACAACGCTGCAAGTAACTGATAAATGCCCCTTTTCACTGCCATAGCTTTCATCCCTATGATTAGTCAAACAAACAAACAAATGATTATCGGGTTCGTATCTATGAGTAAATGACTAAGCGAGGCAAGTTGGAAAGGAAAATCCCAAAACCTCTGACCTGGGGAATGATTACAAGACGTTGGGACGACGGAGTGTCAGGGGCAATGACTCCGGAAAGGTAAAAATCGGTAGGGATTATTTTTATCCAGTTATTAATAAACGATTATGACAAATCAGAATCAGTCGATAACTATACTCCTTGAAGTGTGTACGAGTACGTTATCAACGACCGTATTTCAGGGACAATAATAATTATTGAAATGCTTTGGCAAAAATCTTACAAATCGATATGGACCATCTTCACAACAAGTTTCCCCTAAAAATATAAATGAAAATCTAACTAAGTTGTGTGGATACGTGTGTGTTATCAAAAACCGTATGGAAGACGCACATTATTTAACAAATAACTCTTAGCTCTGTAGATTTTGTACATGTTTGTTATTAAGAAACCGTATGTCAGGGCCAATATAAACTCTGGATTTATTGTTGAAAAAAAAAACATGGGGATCCTCTTTACATCAACATTCTGGTTTAGAGTACGGGTAAGGTAATCAGTCAGTAGGAGCATAACTCAAGAACTAATTTTTTGAAAATGGTCAAAATTCATAAGAATCATATTTTCTCCGATAAAACTATATCCAAATAAAGTTCTTGACTCCACAGAGTGGGTGTAAGAACGCGTTGAAGAATCAAAGGACCGGCAGAGGGTACGTCAATAACATGGCAACTTTAAAACGGTTTTCTTATGACGAGCCCCATTAACAAAAACAATAAGTGTGATTCAGTCATTAATTAACGTATATTCCTCTTGACTGGTCATTATACTTCAATCTCTCCAAGAGAGAACAATGAATATTTCTCTCAAATACCTAGTGACGTGCAGCGAACGATGGCCGCGGACATCCAATCAAAGTGAAATTTTTATATACTTGAAATATCTTCCTATCTCACATTTATCAGTATTAGACTGTATAATGGAGTCATCGTGGATATGCAATCAAGTGTTTCCCAACGGACATAACGAAACTTGTGAACGCCACGGCAAACACCCTATTAGAATTTTTATTCGTAATGCTCTTTTTTCGTGTTTAGAATACAGATACAGATAAAAAGATAAATATATTTTATTAACGTGTCATCATCTACTTGTATACAAAAGTTTTAAAATATTAATACATATAGCTAAATGTAAAAAGTAGATGCCAGCCGATGACGACTTATGAGACACGGTTAAACCAAAGCAGAATTTACTGCCTGTATTTTACTTTAACTTAACACAGGTCATTTATCACCTTATGAATCCATGTGTCATTATTATATGATTTATTTGTCTTGACTACTGATTTAACTACAGTGTAGACATCAGGTTAGCTTGACAGCCAGTAATACCCGCTGGCCCATGCAGACCAATCTCCAGTCCTTTAACCTAATTGTTGTAATGAAATTAATGAAGTCCCATTGGCTAATATTAAAACTAAATCAAGAATTGAGGACAAGCAACAGCACGGGATTGCGTTGAAACTCATTCTTGAGAAATCATCCACAAACGATTTAAAGTCAAATGTCTATTTTTCCAGATATTTTATTAAGTGCAGACGATTTTCGTTACACGATAGTTTAAAAATTTAGCAGACACGCACGCTGATAGAATAAAAAAAAACGGACATCCGTATTCGTATAAATGACTATCAAATGAATCTGAGAGTATCCACTGCAATGTACATTGACTCAATGATTTACATGCAGTCACGGTGGTTCGATGAGTAAGGCACTTACTCACCAACCAGGAGGTCCGAGATTCGATCCCGGTATTGTACTGTTTTAGTGTACATCATGATGCTGTAGAAATCTTTATTTAATTTAAAAGTGAAATATAGCGTAGCCTAGGAAAGGAAAATACGCCAACCAGCAGAGTTTTGAAAATGGGTAGCTAGGACGCCACAGTATGTTGCTTAGTCAAATAAGCTCATAATTTCGAGGCGTGGAATGTAATGTCCAAGATTTTAAGGATAGGAACAGTAACTCGATGTTAAAGTGCTGTGCAATTCAATGTTGATACACTAGCCGAACCAACAAAGCAAGTGTGAAACCGTCATTATTTAATGTTTTAAGGTTTGAATAAATCAATCTAAAAAAACAACACCTACCCTAGATACAAAGTTTTGATTAAAGGGTATGAACTTAAAAATCATGAAAGGCGGCACGGAATTTTGATGGGATATATCTATAGTCAAACAATTCCAAGACTATAGAAATTGTATTAGTCAAAGAAAAGTCCACGAGAGGAAATGAGTTATAATTTGATAAATACATATGTTTTATTTCTATTCTCCATTGTCAGTGTATTAGCTATGGTATGCGTTTATTTAAAACGCAAATTAAATTGTTTATGAAATATTGTGAGAATAAGAGGAAAAGGGTCTAAATTCAAGGATAGATTCTATGTCTAAAAGCACATGATCGGAAATTTACCATTCCATACTTGGCATGAGTGACCAATCACATGATTAATTACATCATAATTAGCCAATAGAATAATTAATGGCTGTGAATCTGAGAGTATATAATTAATAGTATGAGCGCTTTATGGTAGACACCAGGTAGATTCTAAGAGAGGAGAGAACGTTGAGGTTCAAGGGACACCATCTGGTTTCAGAATACCCCGTTAAGTCGCAGGAGAGCCATATGATGTATTGGGATCCGTCAGTAAACTCGTTCTAGGGAATGGTGGATTGAGAGAGTGGAGAATGACTTTGTTATAATCTATGCTTGTAACTATGTAACCTATATGTAGCAGTGCTTAATATAAAATGTAGAAACAAAATGTGTTATTGTTGTTCCTATGTGTAACCATAAAATGTATAAGTGACAGAATAAATACACAATATTTAAAGTGGAGACCTAAGAAGAGAATAAGAAACAAATATAACCAGAGACAATACTAGACGATCAAGGGCTGTTCCAAAATATGTAGTAAGAAACGATGCATGGGTTATACGCCGATGGTGGCGACCGGTTTTCGTGCGTCCTCCGCTCTCCACGTCTGACAGGCGACCCATGGTGCTACAGGTTTCAATAATCCCAGTCTGTATTGTGGTTTATCTTAAGATATCTAGTTGGCGCCACCGAAACAAATGCCTCCTACTAATTTGACACGATTTACAAGAGCGACTTATAAAAGAAAATGAAATTATATAAAAAAAATATGTTGAAAAAAAACAGAACAATACATAATTGTTTATAAATAAGACAATTTTCATCAAAAAATGCAAATTAAAATCACGCCATTATGTTTGTTTTGAGAAACATAGTTAATAAAAACACAAACAAATGTCTTTGCAGATTAAAAAAAAATAATCAGTGCTGAGTTTATAGATTAGTAAAAAAAAAACAACCAATATAAGGTCCATGACTGTACTAATGAAAATGAGTTTTTTTTTAATTAAGGGACAGATTAAATTTTCGATTTCAATAATTATGTTGTGTTTTTGCAACAAAAGAAAAATGGAGCCGTGGTGGCTCAGTGAGTAAGACACTGGGTCACTAGCCTGGAGGTCTCGGTTTCTCTCCAGGTGTTGGGCGAAAAAGTTCCTCGGGGGTTTTCCAGGGCGGTTTCCCTTTGTCAGTGGTCTAGGACTAGCTGTCTAGTCGTTTGGATATGACAAAAAAAACGAGGTCCGTGTACACATTGGCTTGCACGTCAAACAACCTATGGCAGTTGATATAAGATTAATGAGTAGGCCGTAGCGCCGCTGTGCAGGCGAAATTCCCCTCATAGTACACTGCATAGCGTATGCCCGTCTTCATTATTTTCCCAGTCGGTGCAGAAAAGTAGGACATTAAACTCCATTGCATTTCATTTCATTTCACAATGAAAAATATAACTTTAAAAGTCAGTGCTGAGATAAAACCGATCTGTATTTCAATATCAGAAAATTTAATTAAAATTCGAAATTCAAACACAGCGTTGCCAGGTCACGAATGACCCGTAGGGCGCTTACAGGCCAACACATGTTGTGATGGAAACGGTTTTGAATAATAGTATGTTTCTTTTTTCCCGATTAATAAATAAAACTGCCATACATCAAATTCTATCTAGAATATTAAACCAAACGTCAAATTATGTAAGTCCTTTATTGGAACAGAGGTCTATGGTATGATTGCGCGATTACCGTGGGTTAGCAACAGGGATTAATAACATGCCAATCTTGTTATTAGTGCAAATTAATGGAGCAAGAGATTCGGTGTGACCGTGATTAAAATAACCGACCTTCAATCAATAAGCTAATTTACTACTCATTAACTTATGTGTACTATCACCGGTTACTTACATGCCTTTCTGCATTGGTTTCAACTTCGATCGTATAATAGCGAAGTCTGGACGCTTGATAGGATCTTCATCCCAGCATTCTTTGATGACATCTGTGATGAATTTTGGAGTAGAACTTAGCTCGGAGAGACGTGGTCGAAATGCTATATCTTCATTAGGAAACTTCACCCGTTCTATTATTTCTGGAAAAAGAAAACAAGCTTTAGAAATCATTGTATCAAGTTTTATTGCTTTTTTGAAGCACGTCGCCTCCAAGAACAAGTAACAACAAGATGAGTAGCGAAAGGTTAATCAAGGATATAGGCCTATTTACTATTGTTCTAAGATCATGCCTGAGACAAAATCAGTTTTACATATGCAAACAACAGTTGGGCATTATTGTTTAAAATGGTTTTAGATTCTTCTAACAGTATTTTATCATCTGGACCACTGGGGTTTTGTTTGTATCATAAACTGCAATTCTGCATTTACAATAATTGCAGTTTGGGTGATTTTGCACGATGGAACAATAAAGATAAGCCCAGCTTTGTATATGAATTGTGTTAGTGTACTTAAAGGGGAAACCAGGAAGTAATAATGGACGTTTTATTTTATACCAAAAACAACACAGGATCAATATTTGCATGGCCTATGTCTTGCTAATGGTGATGAATCGAACTTAGTTCATTTATTTTGACAAACATGCATTAGCATTACGCGACTTTGATGGAGCACAAACTAATAACGTACTTAATGCACCGCAGTTTTCAATTTAAAATAGTTAACCCTAACAACCGAAAACCTGAATTGTTGTTGCATATTTAACACCGGCACGTGGCAAATGGAAGTGTTCAATAATAAAAACACATTATACCGATCTGAATCAAATTATATGAATTTGCTAACAGGGTTATGATTGAGCAAACTTAATTAGCGTTGTAGAAAGTGAAGGATTGATAACAGATATCGCAGATCAATTGAATTTACCAGAAAGCATGTTTTGTGAACTAAAAAGACAGAAACACAGAACACATGACAGGCGCCGGTTTCAAACAAACCTTCGCAACCATGTTCTGTGGTGATTTTAAAGCAGAATTTCGATTATCGATATCTATTAAGAAAACGAATAAGCTTTGCATTTTATTACGTTTTCCTCCTTTATCGCCATATTATTTATGCGTTAAAGTCAACTTAATGTCGCCGTTTCAAATGTCGCCGGTGATTGATAAAGAAGGTGATTTATTTTTATTCATGTGTTTTCTTATAATAAGACTAATATTACTTTCTTATTATAATAGCGCACGCGTTAATTTAAATTCTTTTGTTCTGTAGAAGTCATTCATCATGATATGTAACTTTTAAAGAGCTATTCCGTCTACAAAAGTCCAATCGATTAAAGATGCATTATGCAAGATTTAGATAAACAGCTATTCGTTCTTGCTATATAGTTCAAAAATAGATAATGTAAAATGAATATATTGAAACTTTAGTCAGATTACTTCTGAGAGAAGTTTTGGGTGCTTAAAGTTTGACAAGATATTGCCAAGTACCATTGACATAATAATAAATGAGGCCTCTACGCCCAATTTAATGTTAGCCTATTATATGGAGAGGGTGGTCTAATCCATTAAATAGTTTGGTCATCCGATGGTCTAGGGGGTTGCTTATGGGTTTATCATGTAAAATTATGTCTAAATAATATTTCATATAAAACCTGAAGCAGGAGAAATGACTTGGCATTTGCAGATTTAGCTTTAGCATAATGCATCTTTAAATACAAAATGCGCCTTGATATCAAGGTATTATCAAAAATAAGTAATATACAATACAAAGACCCAAATCTAGAACAAACGATCTCACTTCTAAATGGGGTGGGCCGGCAACCATAAGTTTATGTATCTACATTTCGGATCAAAATTTGACATCCAATGTAACTTTACCCAACTTATATTCTTAATTAGATTTTGTAATGATTGTATTTCATTCAGAACGTTCTATTATGACATCTACATAAACATCTACATAAACTTCTATTATATTCTATAAAGATCTATTATCATTTTATGTATAGATAAAAGCATTTTAATATTATCTAACCCCATCCCCACCACCATGCATTGCGAAATTCTTGAACAATATGGCTACACGAATTTCAGTACAAGGATTATTGTTAAAACATATTACTTCTACACTTCTTACTTTATAGACCATTACTAATGCCTTATTCATGACGTAGAATCATAGCTTCTCTCAAATAAACGAGATTTTCAAACATTCTCATATATTAGCGGTAACTCGTGTAAAAGTCTACGGACGTAGGAGGCTGCAAACATCACCAAAAAGGTGCGGAAAATTTTTAAATGAGCGTCACTTGCAGTATTGGAAAAGGGTAGCACAGTCACCAAAGGGCATTTTCTTTTTTCACACTTATATCAACTGTTGAAATAAAATGAATAAATATTTCGTTCCCGGGCAGGGTTTGATGCATTTTAGCAAAGTAAAGGACAGTATGAGTAATTGACAAATCTCGTTCGAATTTGAATTCCTCAGAGATCTCATTAATATATAATTCAATACAGTTCAATACTGTTCCCCGTTACCTTTGATCCGTCTCCTCTCAACCTCTCCCTGTGCGTAATTTATAGCTTAGATCGATCAACAATCGTGGCCTGTTCATAGAACTTTACGAAAAACAATTACTTGGTCTCGGAGGCGGGATTTACGAACAATCTCCATTGAGCACGATCAGTTTGATTCGAAGATTAACCAAATTCAAATATGGATTGCAATGATTAAGGCAATGGGATAAAACTTTGTCTATTTTTACTTCAATAGGCTAAGCAGTTAAGGTATAAGGGTGAATAATGATAGGCCAGGGACCTACAGACGAGTTAGGATCAAAGTATTTATAAATCACAGTATGGAACTATAACAATAAATACAAATGGTATCATTAGTTAGATAACGAAGAATCATATATCATTATATTTTGCTCTCCTTATTCAAATAGACTTGTAAGTTGAAATTGAAATGCGGTTTAATATCCTACTTTTCTGCACCAATTGAACTAATGAAGACGAGCATACGTCATGCAATGAGGGAATGCTGACCGAACAGCGGCTTTCCGTCTACTCCTCATCAAATTCAGTGATTCTTTCATGTTGGACAGCGAGGACACAGAAGGACCTCTGCTTTTCATCTTGAATATTTATATTTATAAGCTTCTAATGACATTCTGAATTTCAACATAATTTAAGCAACCTTAGGATTTTTCAAAATGTAGTATGGCAAAATACGCCAAATCAATGATATAAGTGGTATAATAACTAAGGCCTTTAACAAACAAAGAGTCCATTATGTTTCTGAAGATTCTATGACAAAGGCGGTAACCTAAATGTCTGGGGCTACGATGTCATGTTAACATCTCTGCAAATATGAGAGGTTTATTTCAGTATGGTTCACATGCATTACATTATGCGTGAATTTGAATAGTATAGGGTTCAGTCACATGACAATTCACATCAACCTACTTAAAATCACTGAACAGCAGAGTGATTATATGGTTTGGATATCAAATAACTCTGTAAATAATTGATGCGTTTATCCATAACAAGATTACAGTGGAATCGCCAATCGAGGAAAGAACAAACGTTGACATTGGTCAAACTGCGGAGAAACACATGTCAATTATCCTTGAAATCCTGCCAGCGCATGCTCTCACTGGATGTGACATGGTTACATGCGCCTACGTCGTGGGGAAAGGAACAGCTTTGAAAGTGGTTTGAGTTTGTTGGATTCTTTCTCAATAGAATCATTGCTTACACAGGCCACTGTATTTATGTCAGCTTGTTATGGATAGAGTTCAAGAAATCAGTATCTGGACACAATGGGGGGGGGCATCTAAAACCGGGAAAGGTTTCGTTATTATTCCCACCCAAACCATGTAGTCTTGTACCTGTCCTTGTAGTTGTACTAGGGATGGCTTAGAATATACAGTATTTTGCGCTTGTGCTGTCATAGGTTGCAGCCACAAACACGACTAATGGATTAAACTGGATATTACCTAGTTTTGTGGAGGTTAAACTATGTTACAGTTTTACGGGTAGAATTTTGATTTTTAAATGTTCAACAAACAGCTTGTGCCTCCCTTTTCAGGACCGACCCATGTGACCCTGGAGCCCCTGATAGACACGTATGTGGTATTATCGTATCACTCCCATGCTCCTATATCCAGAATTATATAATTTGTCTCTAGATATAGTTTGTTTTGGTGAAATAATGGCCCTCAACAGCCGCTAACGACTTAAAGGGCAATATTGTCTGGCATTTGGATTTTACTATCATCTAATCACCCCACAACATAATGAACGATTTCATTGTATTTCTTGACCCAAGAAATACACTGTTAGACACCAAAATTATCATCCTAGAATAAATACTATGGGGGCTATCGGGATTATTTCATGTGACGGCCGTCTTGGACGCCATCTTGAATTTCTCAAAACGCTGACGGCAGATTCCGAAAGAGGACACACCCTAGGCTACTAAAATCACCCATAAAAAAAATTGTATACAATTTCCAGGTTCACTTGAAATATTGGGTTTGGCGACCGGACTAACGATTATAAGACGGTTACAATTCGTCGATATCAAGGCCAATAACATAACGTGGGACCCTGTACGTCGCAATAATCTGTATTTATGACCAGTCAATCAATTCTAGTAAGGTTAGGGGGAAAATATAAAATGAAACCGTAAAATCTTTGGGGTGTTAAATTATTTCTTTAAATCAAGTTCATATTTCAAGAGAGAAAAAGCCTTTCAGGCTAGACAAGCTTAATGTATAATTATTAAATCAGTCAAGAATTGATAACCCATTATAATGGCATTAGAGTAGAGACGGAAGCCAGCTGATATTCACGTGAAAATGGAATTATGGACTTTCAATGTTTCATCTATTATGGTTGACATAGAAAATCGAAGAGAATAAAAAATAAAAGCAGAATCTATTCCTTCGGAGATTTGATTGTAAAGCCTGTAACAAGGTGATACTGTGAATTATTTATTTATTTCTTATTTTAAACATTATTATTCTAGTGTAAACGAATATTTAACGGATGTGTCAGCGGCGGCATTTCCTTTCAAATTTTGGCCAATTTACTTTATAAGACACAACTTCCCTTTTGTTACATACATTTTTACATACATTTTTGGTGTGTTTTCCCGGATGCATGGTAAAAGCAGGAAATAGACATGCTAGAAAGACAGCACGCTTCATACTTCTCATACGCCTACAACTGCGATGTGGGTAGGGGCGAATAGTATAACGCGTGCGCTTTAGATCATTTAAGGTCTGGTATTGTGTCAAGTGGCGTGGTTTCAATCCCAATCTCGTGCGTGACATGGGATAGGGTCGACAACCTCGTAGGGTTTTACCGGCTCTCCAGGTTTCCTCCTACTGCTAAAGGCCCCTAATCACCAGCGAAATACTGAAATGAACTTGAACTTTATGTTAACCTCGAACCGACCTAGTTTGTCTCGATCTCTGTCTCTCAATCAGTCAAATTGATATGAAACCATACTCCCGTTTCCTTGTCGTTTTATGTCATTTACATGTATACTACTGTAAAATCTAACAAATTAAACGTTTGTTTCCAAATGACCTGGTCCCAAGTTCACAAAACATTCTCAGACTTAGTTAAGAATTTACTCTAAATTGTTGGCCTTATTTTAACTACAATATAGCCCTTTATAAAACTTTTGTTGTTTTAATGTATCAAATACATCAATAAGAAACTATGTGCAAAATTTTTGTGTTTCTGGATCAAATATATTTCTCATAAACAGTGATTGTAAGTTGAGTAAATTCTTAACTTAAGTCTGAGAAAGCTTTGTAAACTCGGGGCCTGACCAGAACTCACTTATAGCCAATAACGAGATGCTCTTTTTAGTCCCAGCTAGACCTCGACGTCAACTTGAAGCAGTGTAGTCACAATTAAAACCAGAACGAAATACAGATCTAATTCAATCAATAATATATTGAATACTAAATAGTTTTATAGGCTGGCATTTGCAACGTCTGCTATCTAAAGGGGGAGAGGGGGAGAATGGGGTTTATCGTCCACTCTATACATACTAGGTCATTTCGGGAATAACACATGGTTCAATTTTATTTCAATAAATCGCTTGCGCGTAGGGGTCTTTAGCAGTGGGAGGAAACCGGAGGACCCGGAGAAAACCCACGAGGTTAGACATACGACCCTATTTCTTGTCACGTACAACCGGGGAATCTAAACCACGCCAGTTGTCTCAATGACAGACCTTATGATACAGCGCGCACGTGCTAACCATTCGGCCATCCATAACGATATGGATACAGCGGTTTGCTGACAAATTGTCATATACTCAATCTGGTCCTGGCTAATTAACTAAGGAATATAGTGTGTAAGGTATACGATTTTCCCACCTTTAGGTGAAAGGTCGATGTTACCAAAAGGACCCATTCTTCCTTGTATCTCAAACATTATTATACCAAAAGAGTACACATCGCCTTCCTGTGTTCCTCGGTGAACTGTAGTTTTTGACCGTAACAGTTCTGGTGCTCTCCACAATAAATCTGAAAAGACAACCACATACAGTAAAGGAATAAGTCATAAATACATGTAAAGAAGGGTGTAGTGCCATAATGAATACAGAAGATATAATGTCATTATGTAAAGTGAATGGCCTCCTTTATCGTGGGTTGTATCAACGCACCATTGGGATTGGCTACGCAAAATAATGTTTGTTAATTCGTCTACTGGGTTTTGTGCGGCGTCGGATTTAATGACGTGTCTTTTATCAATATACGTATACACCGTTTATGGAACGAGTTAAATATCTTATTTTTGTCAATGCTCCTTTCAAATATCCCCAAGGTGGTATTTATAAAGATAAATTTAGTTCCGTTTTTTAAATTAATGATAAAATTCCAATAAATGATGATTTTTTTTTTGTCCAATATATAATTTCTCCATTTTTGCGATTTTTTTGTAAACAAAGTTAAGCCTTCTGCATTGCGTCATACTTAGTCGAATACCTAAATGAACTTTTCTAGAAACATAATGTATTATTGATTATGTCTTGTCTTGTCTCAATTACTATAGACTGAACATGTGTTATTAAGTTCCCACTTAATTAGCTAATTACAATTAGTTGATACAAACAGAGGTTTGGTGTAACCCAAATCTTGATTAGAATCTATTTTGAATATATAACAAATGCAAATATTGGCAAAGCTCCTATGGGAGAGGGGGGGGGGGGTGTTTACAAAACTTCTATAATATGAAATAAAGTCGCTTTGATTTTATATGTACTTGAGTTATAATTGGCATACAGATATATTCTGAAATGGACAGCTGTATCTTAAATCTATAAGCAATTTAATAAAGACTATATGCCATTGATCGATATAACAGAATCGTGATGGACATATAATATACAGGATACTGATAAAATATACAGTGCTAAAATCAAGGCTAACAAATAACTGTATATGCTTAACTTGACGGATAATTAAGAAGGAGAGTGGAGAGAATAATACAAATGAATATATCAACATTCACAGCACCAATGTTCATCATTCTCATGGCTATGATTGAAAGCTCAAGAGAAAGAGAGCATCCACTACAAACAGAGGTGATCTGAAAATCACCGGCGTGTACCCCAGGGATCTGTTAACTCGCAGTGGTCATTCAGGATTTTATTCCGGGGGTTAATCGCTAAAGTCTATAACCAGATTGTAACATATGTAGGTGTTGTGTATGAATTGCCACCACATGTGTTTGAAGTCTGATCAATCTTTTCCTTTACCAACAAGTTATAAGCAATCAGTGGTTGATTCTTTCATTGATTGTTATGCCATGCCAGAAGTGATCTGTAGAAACACTAAGCCAGTCGATTAGAACGTTCAAAAAAGATATCTTTTGTGTAAGCCACAATTCAAATTTCTTTAAGTTCTATTTTTGATTAGGTCGTACAAGAAAGTAAAACCAAATTATCATTGATTAGATTATAAATAATATATCCGAATCTTTTGTTTCGGACCCACCGCCCCACGCCCAATACTATACCAATTCCCGAAAATAATAAACATAAGAGATAGTAGTGTTGGTTTTATCGTCTATAATGGACCTTTTAAACAGAACTTTGTCTTGCATAACTGAAACACAAACAGTTAGCACAGCTATGTCTTCAGATAACATCAGTTGTGATCTTATTAATATAATCATGTTTCAACATGACATATTTATCAAGAATATAACATTGTACATTATCAGAGGCTAAATGGACTATAATCCTCCTTCTTCTTAAAGATCGACGAATGATTTAAATTATGAACACTATATCTATTATTGACACCAAGGGTGAATTCAAAAGCAGAATAATAAGGTTACTGAAATTAACTTCTAATTGAACATGAAAATGTACTTCAGACAACATACTTCTATACATGGCATATTCCCCCAGATCCTCTTCTTGACCCGATAAAAATTCATGAAGACCAAAGTCGGCTATCTTTAAAACCCATCGGCTGTCGACTACACAATTCGAAGATTTTAATTTCCCGTGTGATTTAATCTCACTGCTGTGTAAATACATCATTCCCTGAAAACACGTAAATATTACAAATAACAGTAAATGTCGGTTAATCACCGCTGAATATAACTTGCTTTTTTGTTCTTATTACTGGTCAAACGCAAAATCATAAATACCCATGTAAAGTAATATGTGAGATTACCGTACATTTGTCATTACATGTATTCTAACGATCGAGTCTGGTCTGTGATTTAAGAATGTTCAAGACAACAATACTTTATTGGACTATTAGAAGTTTGGACGCTAAATGGAATAAATTCTAAATCATTCATGTTTATAAATACATGACATATATTGTTGGAATAAGTAGGAATGTAATACATCGTATGTAACGCAAGTCATTTTTTCATTAAAAGATTGCACTGAGTACACATCTATGAACCATCAACAAACGATAAAATTGAAATATTCAAAACCACTTTAGTGCCAAACGATTAATTAAGAGCCATGGGGATTAATTTAGTCAGGTCGGGCTAACTTTGCACTGAGTACCTAATGAACGATAACCAAGTGAAAAAAATCGCTTCAGTGTGACACAACTAATTAAGAGTGGTGAGTATTAATTTAGTCAGAAACTAATAACGAAACACCAAAAAATATATAAGCTCTTACCCTAATCATATCAAATACCAAAGATGCAATAAACATGGAATCAAGCTGTAAATCTTCATTCTCTAAGATATCCTGCAAACAGAAAACAATTACTAAATATAAAAAAACAACTTAAAGGGACATTAGGTAAGATTAGTTAGATAAAGAATTGACAGGTCTCGTTATTATAGTTAAAAAATAGATATTGAAAACAGAAAATGCTGAAAATTTCAGTCAAATTGCTTTACTATCAACCGAGATATTAACTATTCAATTTTAAGATATAGCCTCGATCATCATTACTAACGTTGGTACTATTATGAACAAAGTCTCGATTGTCCAATTTTACGTTAAATTATCCACCACAAAATGTATTTAGATCCGCAAAAGATCGCAGGTTAACGATGGCATGGAGAGTTGATTATGGTCTGCTATAATAGTTCGAAAATAGATAATGTAAAATGAATAATTTGAAAATTTCATTCAAATTACTCTATTGCGAGCGACGATATTAGCCTTTGGTTGTTCGAAGCTGAGTCTCGCTCCTCCATTTTTAGCTTAAATCAAAATATGGCTGAACTGTTTTTATCTATTTAATATCGGAGAAATCCAACGCCATCGAGAGTTGATTATGGCCGGGGAAAGGAGATTAATATCTAATTAATAATTTAGAAAACATTTCAGGCCTAAAGAAAGACCCGCAATAGGCAGATTTAGCTCTTGCAGAATGTATGTTTAATTAATGTCTAATTAATAATTTAGATAACCCTAAAGAAAGACCTGCAGCAGATGCATATATAATGCATGTTTAATAATCGAAATTAAATGTGAATCTAACACATACTATTGTCAACAAGTATTGATAATACTACTATTTGTTTGTTTGATAACATAATCACGCGTGTACCGTCACTCTTATCTCTGACTTTGTACGTTTTGAAAATGTTGCTAAGACCAATTTAGACAAAAATGCAATTATGAAACACATCTGCTGTATTACAGTAATGAAAACCGATACCATTACTTCAATCTAGAACGCAATAGATTGTGTTTATGAACAATAATTTATTTCTTTATATGCAAAGGAAATGCAAACATATTAGGTTACAAAAATGTGGCCAACGGCGTACATATAAATTTTCTTCGTATGTTTATATTGTCCATCAAATATAATTAAATAATGTTTTCTTGGGAACACAAGTACATGAATGTGCCACTCAAAGAATGTTTTTTGTTCCTAGTATCTCCACAGTGGACACGGAAGTTAAAGGAGCTAAATCGCTAACATTTGGGACCTAGAAATTGACACAAGTGGGTCGCAACTCATATAATACTGTAATATGGATGTATATAAACTGATTTACATTCAATCGTTTCCGTTTTTACTCTAATTTCAAATCAGTTATGTTCCGTGAAATAAGCCAGCAGTCTCAATCGAATGCAAATTCCTAGCGTCTGGTTATTCCAGTCTACATACGCCGCTTGGTTTGGTGCAATATGTCTAGCCTCGTTCCTCGAGTCTCTTGCTAGAACTTGGGCTGAAATGCATTATGGTACACGATTCGTGTACCAATGGTAAAGTATTTATTTTGTCTTAAATATTGGATATCAGAAGCCCATCTTTTTCCGGTAAGATCACAGCATCAATGTTGTTTTAAATTGACAAATAATTCGTGTTTTCAATGTTGAAGATTTTGGAAGATATTGAGTTAGAGACTTAGCTACTTTAAATAAACCTATTTCACACATCTGAAGGTCATTAACATGTTAATTATTTTATAAAATAGATCATTCCCACAGGCTCTATTATTAGTAGCGTGAATTCATTACCCCACTACACATAAAACAAGGCAGACTAAGCACATTTTTAAAGAGCTTATATAGGCTGGATTTTAAAATCTGTACTGCGATTTGCCCCAATACCGGTATAGTAAACATCCAAGTTCGAGATTATGTAAGGTATAGTGTTGTAACAGCCTAGCTTGTGAATGAGGAAAACTTCTTCGAAAATATAATGCATCGCGTCGATCGGTCTATATTTTAGCATTAACCCCGCTCTAGTTTCATCTTCAAGTAAATAACAGGTTGCTTTACAAATTTAAAAAAAAGGTATTAAATGACAGTCAAAATGTTCCATAAAGAGAGTCCCTGGGTTTTTTATTTTGTCTACCATAAGTGTTCCGCGGAATGCTTGACCTAGGCTCCCACATAATATTAATCCAGTAGACGTGGTACAAGGGTTAATCAGCGAACTGGATGTATGAGATGTGTTGTTGACGTTTGGGAAAGTAGGACGAGGGGAAATGTGTAGGGAGTGAAGTGCTGTAAAGGGATAGTTAGATGTATTATGAATGGTTAGAGTGGCTGTGGTGTTACGGTGAAATACTATGCCGCCACCGTAACACCACAGCTTTATGATTTGTTAGACAGGAGTGATGTAATGGGTGTCAACAACTGGGTATGCTGGTACCGTCGCAACGTAGCCGTGAAATATATATTGTGGGGGGGAAGGGCGGAAACGGAAAAATATACAATGTTGACAGTATGTGCCAGGCATGAGGCTGCGCAGACCGAGCGGCAGCTCGATAGGGAGTGTGTGGGAGGGTCACCCTCATAAAAAATTTTTTTTTAAATTTCAGTTTTCTGTAAGCAGTGAAAACACTATTTTGGCATTGTTTGCGGGGTTAAACCTAAAAATCACATTAATACACCTATTGCACGATATTGGGAAACTAGCTGACGAAGACAGCTCGGGCGGCGATTGTTCGACTCGGGGCTGCTCTGTCAGTATCTAACAAACGCATTTAGTTCGCGTACAACTTTTAAAAACCGAATGTCAGTATGGTATTTCTCACATAATTGGTTATCGCAAAAACAGAGTAAACTGAAAGCGAGTAATCTCGACTCAAACCTATAGTCTATAGCCTACTTACCACAACACTCGTCACTAGGCTTCCTATATTATTGTTTGTGGACGGTTTACTACTCAGTGATAAGCCTGCGCCGCAAAAAGAGGTCTCGCCTTTTATTATTAGTATAATGACTTCCTCATGTGCGGCAGGTTGGTTTGCTTCTTAAAACACTGTTTTCCGTTCCAAAAAATACAAAAGTAATTTTCTACCAGATGACCATGGTTCTTTTCACCGAGACTAGATAATTTCTCTCGGTGTAAGGATATAGCTATGGATAAGTTCATACAAGGTCAATAAATCCGCGGTCACTTCGGGTCACACTGTTGAGAAAATAAACCGATGGGTTTGTTTAGTAGCAAATCGAGCGTGAATCAACTGAGTTTGTACTGAAAAATTTTTGAGTGATATGTATGAACTGTCTTCACACATTCGGTTTATAATTAGCGATACACAGGTACAGTGGCAAGTGTTGTACTTCACAGACTGTTTACCTCCGAACTACCTCCGCACGAAATCCCCGATTTGGGTACTTGTTAAAAGAAAAAGAAATAGTACCTGTGCGCATGCCAGTAAAAAAACCTAAGAGTTCGCGCATAAAAATGCCCGAACGTACCAGGCGCCAGGTCATCCAGCCCTGGTAGTATCGTCATCACAACCACATCCACTCGGCCATAGTCTTATTTTTTTTATCTACAATCACTCTAAACTCGTTTTCAAAGTCGTTCCCATCGGACATGTGGAATTCGTACATTTGTGAATAAATCAAATTAAATGAAATGAATAGTAAAAGACTATGGCATGGGACAATAGCAGAAGAATAAGTTCAATGCAGACGCCCTTGATATGACAAAATCGTTGATATTTTGTCCTGTTTCAAAATACCGAGAAATATTGAATAGTTTTGTGGAGACAAAAATATGATCGAGATCTATTTTGTATTTTGTGTTTTGAATTTCGCACCTACCGAACTTATTGTATTACCCAGTGACTTAATGAAACATCAATTTTCAGAATCTTTTGTTGAAATTTTTTAGCCGCTAATTTGAAATCTTAGACAACATGTCGCTCAGCTCGAGTAATAACGCTAACCATAATAGTGTATTAAATTTTTTTTCTCTGCTGACATTTGCAAAATATTTTGTTTAATACTTTAGATTACGACTTGTTTAAATCTCTTTTACAAATACTTCGGAATATGTTGGTGTTATTGAGGCGACAATATAATATTTATCAAAGAATCGTTTATTATTAAAACTTTATTTTCTTAGTTTTTATAAATATTTGATCATGGTCCTTAAACAGAAAATTAAATGTAATTAACTTTATATAATACATTCATTCATAACCCCCAGATATACACTATTGCAGGGGGTTGGGGTCGTAGGAACCAATTTGAGAAAGTGCTTTTCTTGAACATAGGTTTGGGATGCGATACCTTCCCTCCAAAATTGGGGAACATTTTAATGCTAGGGATGCTTAAGAGTGCATTAGAATATCTCTGGATATAATAGCATTATAAGCTATCTATCAGTGGGCTTTTGGATTTAAATTATTTCGACTGCATTGTAGTATTTGCCTCATTATCAAATTGGCCTAAATATTAAGGACTAGCAGGGAACACTCATAATATTTAGTTTTAATGCAGGGCTGGTGACACCGCGCTAAAACCACCCGATTATCGTGACCAGGTTATCTCCGTAAGTTTTGAAAGAATAATGCATTTGCACAATATCTATGTAAACTGATTTCCAAGAGAGCACACTGCTGCCCACTGCCCCCGTGCCCTTGTCTAATTATTATAGAGCATCAAAAATCAAAGTACTTCTCTAAGTAAAGCAAGGCATGGAAATGAATGGACTTACTGGTGCTTCGCCGCCTACGGGGATTGGGGCTTGGGGATTTAATTTAATTAAAACCGTAAATGTCGTCTTTAAAATTGTATATTGTTCGTTACCTGAAGACTTCCCTTTCCACAATAAGCAGTTATAACCAGTATATTAGGCGAATCAATACACGCACCAATAAATGGTATAATATTATCATGACGTAGTTCACGCATCTGTAAAAGGAAAAAAACAACAAACCTTTATGTCACCAAGTTAATTAGATAAATGAAAACAGGCGATTAAAATTAAATTACACATTCGATTTAAAACATTTTCTGTCAGTAAGAATTAAATTACAGTTAACTTACGATTTTCAATTCTTTCCTCACATTCCGAGTTAACTCCACGTGTTTTTTGTTAACGATTCTTATAGCTACTATAGTTCCTCTGTATGTTCCGACATGCGTAAACAGTTGTCTTAGATCTAAGTCAACTTGGGAAATCAACGAGATTTGACTGGCCGTTTTACTTAATCCATTGGGCTGAAAGAAATAAAATAATGATCATTTAACTGAGCAAGCTAATTGTGTTAAGCTTTTAAAGGTTGGCATTTTCAGATCTCCAGGTTATAAAACCCCAATTTCAATTGCCAGCGATCGACTTGAAATATGCCATTCAGAACAGAAACATTTATTTCCCTAAGAGTTTTGGTTGCTTTAGTAGTTTAGACATATATCGGCAGCTACAACGTTGGTTAAACCGATGAAGGTTTAGGGTAGGCTCTTCTATAGTGCTGGTCTTCTATAGTTCTGGTCTCTTTTCAATATAAAACAGTTTTATTTGATTTTAGTGTCAATTAGAAGCTGAACATTGTTTGCTCTGGCATAATCAGTTTCATTTTCATGATACTGCCACTAAAACCTGGGATGTTTTGATTATTGAAACAGTCGCTGCATTGAAAAGCTTAGCAAATCTCCTCGCGTGGGCGTATTTATAAATAACTTACAAATATAAAATTTCATCCGAAATTACTAGACTGATCTTAGTAACCATTAGACAGAAAATTTAGAAAGGACGGAGATTATTTCATGGGTGTATGAGGCATACACGTATTTAACAATGCATGTATGCTTTATTAGTCCCCAACTGGTTAGAATTCACAAGCTGCCATGGTTTAACGTCACTGACTTTAGCCTCCCCAAGGTCGTTCTATCCCCACCCCACAAACGCGCGCCCATTCTTATAACACTCTCTACTTACTGGCCGTACTACTAGATAATAGGAGCGGACACAGTTTCATCCATTTGGCGATGTAAAGATTTGACGATTTAAGGATTGTGTAAAAACTGAATTAGGGTTCCGTTGAACACTTTCATCGCTATCAAACATACAAGAATAATAGCAAAAATCGTGTACTTATTAATAAACGTCAAAGGATAAAAGTCTACAGACCACATAACTGTCCTGCTCTGGGTAGACAGCCTGTCTGTTCTGTTAATACAATGCGTGCTTCATAACATTTTATTGTTAAGATGTTTGTATATCTCAAAAACAGACATACCGACCCGGAGTAGAAAAACGTCAAAACCTATTTATTTCTATTGAATATAAGAAATATAAGTATAGAGACAGGAATAGAAATAAATAATGATTAAATATCAGTGATATATGTCTGTGACATACATATATTCAACAATTGTGTTAATCTTCAATCGTCATTGTGCTCTCTCTCTCTCTCTCTCTCCCTCTCTCTCTCTCTCTCTCTCTCTCTCTCTGTGCATTTATTGGTAAGAAATTTTTTTAAATATATAATGTCACATATAATGTTATAATGTCTAAGACATTATCACAGCCAACTGTCCGTGTCGGAGAAATCAACAAAAGTAATTATATAATGACAGCAAAACATCGAATGGGTGATCATTTGATTCCGTGGGGAATCGGGACACGTTCGGATAAACCCCGGTGTGTGGACGCCAATGTGGGCATTGATATATATAGTTTTTTAATACCCCTGTTTGTCTACTATCGGATATTTCTCTCTTGAGACAAAAATGTAACCACTATTTCCATTGCAGATGATGAGCTTTTCAACGCTCACGATATTTGACCAACAGAACAGACGTGTGTTTGGCATATTTCATCACCAGATAATCTTCTACGGTTTAATCTGCTGTAGGCAATGATGAATAAATAAGGTTTTTTGGTTATCCACTAGCCTTGATCTTGGGTTGTAATTGCCAGATTAGGAATTATGTAACTACAGGGTTCCAACCGGTACAAATGCCATCCCTGTATACTGGTGATTATATTAATAACGTTATTGGTAGCCTTAATCTAGACAGGATTAATGGCGTATATCATGACTTGATGATAAACCGATTATAGCTACACACATCAATGTTAACAATATTTCTTAATATAAGTCATTTCAGGATGGACCTATTATTACGTGTCTCGCCACAAACAGGCTTCTATGATGCTGCGTGTATTGAGTGATTGCAAGACTAATTACTCTAGACAACACTAATCTTTTCGATTTTCATCGTGCCAGCAACCACGTTGTTCGGTAATTTATTTTGATCACACCAGTAACAAAGATCTTTTGATGCTCTGGTAATTCACTATCAATCTGTATTCAGCTACATTTAGAAACTCAAAATCTTCCTCATTATGTTAGTAAGCCCGTTACTCATAGTGGCTTTAGGGCGGGCGGTGATTTGATAAAGTAAACATGTAAGAAGTGATTATGGTATAATATTATGATAAAGAACAGCTCATAGTATTGACATCACAGTGACTAATTAGTAAACAGCCAACATCCAACATTCCAGAGAAGGGTTTTATCCGTTCAGACTTTTATTTGGATAAAAGGATTAATACGTCTGCAGGAAAATCCAACTGGACGAGAACAGCTATAAATCCACAGGGCATTTAAGACTCCCTGGAAGTGTATAAGTTTACTAGATATTTGTTTTTAATGAATGAGTGAAATGGGATTTAACGTCCTACTTTTCTGCACCGACCGGCCTATTGAAGACGGGCACACGTCATACAGCTAATTCTTTGCTTCATGTTGTGTTTCGAAATAGATTTCAATATGACTCCAATATAACGCAGGAAAACACTATTCTTCTAAATACGTTTTTATATCTGGCAGGTTACGCAAGTTCAAGCATAAGTCTAATAAACTCAAAAATAAACTGGCTTTCGGGCTCTTTTAACCCGCTCTCGCCAGAGCGTCTGTCTTCTGGACACGCTACATACTTTCCCTCTAGGAACACCGAATGGTTTCGGGATTTCTATTTTAAAGGATATAACGCCTTCAACCGGAATATTCGTCTCTATAATGTGTCACTTGGTTGATTAACCTTTCCAGAAATGTGCATGGTATTCATGTTTAATATGAATATTGGGCACCCACATTCTTTGCAACTTAGCTAAGATTATTTCCTTTTTTGGTCAGCTAGATATATTGCGTCACTATTTGTACATGAGTTTGATAATCAAGAGGGAAGTGGTGTTTCTTGATAAACAACTTACTGAATGTGTTATCTATTTCCTTAGCCTTTCCTGTATATCTAACAAAGTTTGTTTACGAATTAGAAACCAATATTATGCCGGGACATATTATTGCCATACATTTTGCCCGGACAGCAATTGAGCCAGCGAATTAGTCATTGAGTCAGCAAATTAGTCATTAAGCCACCTTTGTTTTGATCTGAACTTAATTCCATACAAATTATTTAAACTTAAACATCATACATACTATCGTTTAGTCATCTTGGATCAATGTACGTTCCCAGATGGAAAGAAGGTACCGCTAGAAAAAATGTTCCATGATGCTAGTAAGATAGAAAAGTGGTTTATCTGAACAAATTGATTTCCATGCCAAATTTATTTTTTGCGTGTAGGATCACATTTTTTATTATTTGCAAGTAAATAATTAAGACATATAGATTCCATAAAAGCCATAGGGCAGAAAAAAGACACGCAGCAGCCAGAACCAGAAATTAATACGTTATATTTCCATAACTTTGTATATGTGATTCAATTCGGACAAATCTTTAACCTTTTGGGGCAGTGTAAATATAATTAGACCTCTAGGTCTTTCGTTTCTTTTCATTTTCGTTTCAAACTAGGGTAAGGAACTCGCGTTCTGTTGAAATGGTGTTTAGTGTCCTTCTACAATAGTTTTGTTTTTCGAGGAACACACTTTGGATTATTTAATTGTGGTCTATATCCAGCAGAAAACAAAGTCAGTCACTTGACCTATGATGTCTGGTATGTCTACTAAGTATATCCCGACACTTTTTGTCAGTTAGAAGTGGTGGTGTAGATTTGAATCACTGGACAAAGTGTGGAATCGGGCTGGACTAGGGATAGCTCTAATTTGACATTGTAGCAATTAAATGTATGATGTAATTCTTCATCTTATGGTCTCTAAATTGACTATACAAAAGTCCAGATACATTTCAAGAAACCATTCAGATACATTTCAAGTAACCATCCGGACACATTTCACCAAACCATCAAGATACATTTCACGCAACCACCCAGAAATCACAATTGTTTATGGCTAATATAATATTTACTTACTTTTGAGCGACCACCATGGAATGTTTGCATGTAATGATCACCAAAACTTAAATCTTTGTATTCTATCTTCCATAGAAGACTAGCCAGATCTTGTTCATACCTCCAGTTTCTGAAAAGAAATATCAAGATGTTCCATATGGTAAAAGCGATTATAAAGTATGTTCGGGTTAATTATCGAAATGATTACGAGTGACGGGAGGCTTGGGCGCTCGATCATAAGGTATGTCATCATGTGACCTTGCTGTTGTTTGGATCCAGCATTTGGACGTGACCAAGAGTAGAGTCGGTATTCTAGTGTATGTTCGAAAAAGCCACCATCCTCGGTGGGAAAATAACACTCAGAAAGAAAACAAATCTTGCTAAAAGAAAGCCCACCGTTTCCTTTCCCAGCAGAACCTCGGACTTGAGCTTGCCCCTATAACTACACGGCACAAATACGACACAAATTTGACCCCGATAAGGTGTAAACGCAGCCCAGAATGACACACTCTTATCATATCTTAATAAAAATTAAAAAGAGAAATGTGTTTAACGTCCACTCAACACAAACTAGGTTATTTGGGCAGTGGTGGGAAACCGGCGGAACCGGAGAAAATCCACGATGTTAAGCAGGAGACAATACCCCTTGGCACGTTCAAGTGTGGGACCGAAAACACGCCACTTGACTCAGTGACATACCCTGTTATCTAAAGCGCACGCATCCCTCCAAATATGAAATGAAATATTTACCTGTATATTAAGTAACCAATAATAGCTGTTACTAACATAACACCACCAGCAACACCACCTAACACTTCTCTTGTATACGCTGAAACACACAAATATAAATATATAAGATCCGGTCCACATTTACTGGTCTTCAGTCTATAATGAAAATCTCTTGACATTGCACTAATTTGACCGATTTTTGGCTTTGTCATATAGGAGAATTCAAATCTTCGGCGGAATTTTCCACAAAATCATTGCCATTTCAAACGAATCACCTGTCCGTTATAGTCGAACTATTGAAGCGGAGATTGTGAATCTGTTTTTAAAATATGATGGTAAATCTACATGCCCTGTTCTTGAATAATTAGACGCAATGTTACAGTCTAAACTGCTGTAATACTTTGGGTACACATATGATAGTCAAGGTGAATTCAGGTAGCACAGCCATTCAAAGCTAAATTATCATTGCAGCAGAGAAATGAAATCTCAACGTAGGCAAGATCATTCCAGTTAATGACCTTAATGTTATATAATTACAGAGCTTTATTTACTTTCAAACTGACAAAAGAGTCACTCGGTGTCGGCTGTAATTGTTGGACCTCGACTCAAAGGGTTAAAATTCAAACTGTTTGAAATGTCAACAAGACACACGTTGTGTAAACTACTGCGATTAACGCTGTCGTAATAGTACTTGACAATCCACATTTGGGCACTTCAAAAGGTTTTTGCTCTGTTATCAAGTTCTGCCGAATATTCTATATGATCATAATTATTTTTTTTCTATGCTTCTAATAAAGGCATGTCTGTAAAAGGTTTCTCGGGGAATAGTGATTGTTTCAGTAACAAATGTTATAATAACACATTCCTGTCAAAAACGTTTTTTTTCTTTAACAGCTATCAAAGGTTAATGCAAGAGAACTTTTAAGTAAATCTCGGGAATATTTTTGCACGGAACTAACTTGATACGTAATATCCCTACGGATAGTGAGAATGTCTATAATTCATGATCTAAGATAGAATCTTGTAGAAAAATGATTGATTTCGATGTAAACTAACTGTATTAATGTTATTGAGTGTGAAGAACCAATTCAGCTAAATTAGATAGAAGATTATTGCTAGCCATCATACACTTCATCGTGGCGACTGAATAATCTGAATTATTAACTATAGAAATGACATTAAATTCTTAAATGTTGTTTTAACTATACGTGAATAGAAAAGTAAATACGCAGAGCTGTCTTTGGTGTTTACAAGACATTACAACTCGTAATGAAAGTCTGAACTATGTTTTGTCTTTCTTCTTCTATAGAACTGTATTGGTATGTGCAGGAGGACGCAGCTACATGCAAACAAACCCCATCAAACAAACCAGTGAACAACAACGACAAATAGCAAATCAAGGATCATATTATCATATTTGGTAGAATAAAATGATGTGCCTTGTCGAATCGGGGTATGATTACTTTTATAGAACATTTGGTGCCACTTTTCATTTGAGGAGTTTATATAGCTATATTTTGCGCTTAAGGCACTTGGCGGATGACTTTACAAGTGCATGGCCATTTGTCTCAGCGTAGCTTATGAAATCCAGATATGAACTATCATTCCAGTTAGTTATTAGCTACTGACGAGTGTTGTGCAATGTATCCTTACTCTTTATAGAGCATGTGATGTTATTTCTATTTTTCTGCATTCCATGTGATATCATTTGATACAATATGAAGATAAATGAGCCAGAGAAGGTGTAAAAATACCATATGACTCGACGAAAAGCATACTCCCAACAAAGTGAATTAACCTTTGTTTTTTTTTTGGTAGAAGATCCCCTGCCAGTCTCCCTGAATCAGCCATTACTATTTAGTAAAGTTGTTGTTTTTAAAGACAGTTGGAAATTAGGTGTACATGTATATCAACTCGGGGTTTCTTCCAGCTAAAACAATGAAAACCATACACTAACAACTATATATGTAAAACATAGACTGGTCGTGTATGGATATATAAAAAACCCTCACACACCGGTTTAAATTGAAGAGTAACCCTGTCGTCGACATTACAATGAAACACGCAGAGTCAGAGTTATAAAAGAGATGTGTGGTTTTGTAATTTGGTTAGTCAAGTAAGTCTACTTAGGTTACTGAAATCCCTTTACTAAAACGCAATCATTTTTAATACTTTATGAAACAGACAAAACATAAAATACACATTAGCACACACACATAACTATCTTATTTGCCGCCATAGTGAACAATTAATTAATGTACTATTTTGTTCTGCAGTTTCACTTCTTTACAATCTTTACAAGACTAAATAGACATTTTCAATTCCATTAAATATGAATTACGAAAGCGAAATAAATACATCTCAAATTCTCGAAGTGGGCTTAGTGTATTCGACTAAATTCGTCGATATAGGAATTAAAATGTCGGTCACCTAGCTTCATGTATGTTCTCAAGCTGTTATAAATGACACAAAAAAACAATTTAAGAAAGAAAATCCTGAAGAAAGGAAACGTATTCAGATTAGTTTCGGTCTAATGCATGACCTGTAATAGTTGCGTACTATTTTCTTTAATTTATTGTTCATAAAATAAACAAAGCTTTATTACTGCCAATAAAGTTTGTTTGAGAAACTTTGGGAATGAATGAATCAAATGTGGTTTAACGTCCTACTTTTCTGCATCGACCGGGCTATTGAATACGGCTGGGCTAATGAAGATGGGGAAAACGCCAAACAGTGTGTCATCATGGAATTCCAGCTGTCAAGGGTTAATTTACGTGCACTTCAACGTGTATATGGGGTTTCGGTTTTTGTCCCAATTGAGCGACTAGACGCTGTTTCTAGCCAGACCCTCAGTCCTGCACCTGTGGCAAGGAAAAACCACGCTGGAAAACCCCAGAATATGTTCTTGGCCATCACTGGGATCGAAACCAAGACCTAGAAGATTTGGGCGCCCCCACCCCCCTTAAAGATACTATTATTGGATATAGTGTAGCCTTCTAGAGAAAATCTATCAATTAATATCTATCAAATATCGTATATTAACTACTACAGCCGCTTGATATCACTTGGAGTTTTAACGTTAAATCATACGATAATTTGACAGGTTCACTTATCTCAGGGTCACAATGGGATCGTGAATGAGATTGATGGTCATCCATAATACAAACTACAATAAAACAAATTGCTCTACACGATCACTACAAGAATGCTGGATATTCCAGATAGATATCATATTGCTATAGCGTCTGTTGGAATGAGTCTGGTCATCATCTATATTAGATATTAATGTAACCAGGTATATACATGTTCTTTATTAAACATATAGTCGTCTCTTCTGGGTGATTTGAATAAAACTATGTATTATTTTAATATGGTCCGAAGAGGTTCACGAGAACTGAAAACGTCTGCAAAAAGAAATAAATGTATTGGTACCAATAACATTGTACCACATGTTAGTACCAAAATGACATAGTTTGTAGTTTGTGTTGAGTGGACGTTAAATGGAGTGATACGCCATACCTCCTAGAAAATTTAATACCCGAAAATTTATATACAAATTCATAACAAAAATATTCTTAGAAATGAGAACTCTCCAAATGACGAACGCTGTTGATCCGGTGTCTTAGGAAGGGGGAGGGACATACCATACCTCGGCCGTGACATCTGTCACTTATGCTTAATTTCGTGACTACACGCTCATTGTTTTAAACGCAAACGTGTAACAAATGTCTATCAGGTAATAAACACCGTGTAAGGACAAACAATTCATTTAAGCCAGTGTTTCTGGTGAATGCATCTATAAGCCAGTTTCGAAATCAGTTTTGTATTATTATGCTGAAAATAAAGCATGTTTATTGGGCTTATCCCGTTCAAATGAATAAAATATTGTTTAATCTAATTATACACGTACCTACAATGCCAGCAGTGATTGTACAAGCCAAACACACTAAATGAAATATTAAGCTGGCCTAAGTCATGGTTAACTATTCAGAATCACAATCGTCATTTTCCAATCTTAATTCTATTGTTCATCCGGTAGTTAATTCCATTATCTGTTCATAACGCGTTAATTGTTATTTGACGTCCTCCGACTAGCCAAAGTCTTGGATTACCATCTCTTCTTGATGTCTGGACAGTTCTTATTTTCATGAATTAGTTTCTCATATAAAGAAACACGGCCTTTGATTTTTCTAGTTAAAGAAATGAAACGCTAGACCTATTTTTATTTTAAAAAACAACCACATTGATTGTGACAACTGGAATGTATTTTTGAGTAATTGATATGAAGCTGAAGGATTTGTTCATAGAATCCAATACAATTATAATCTATATTATTATAGACTGAAAACGCAAAAAAATATTTCTAGTCTGGTTAAGAAATATGCTGATTGAGGAATGAGAATTATGTCTAGAAATATATGTACTTCATTTGCCAGAAATAATTATTAGCTTAGTCAATCTAAAAAAAACACCTAAATAGTCTAATCCAATTTATATCTGTCTCATTTCTAGACATAACATAACATGTTTACGCTTAAGATACCGATATTAATTAGAAATCGCTTAACACATGGTGCATGTTTGTTTCTGATTGTCATGTGGCATTTTCACTTTTGTTTCGCTCCTGTAAAATAATGAAACATGCATGTACGTTAAATGAAATGGGATTTAACGTCCTACTTTTCTGCACTGACTAAGCTAATGAAGACGGGCATACGCCATGCACAATTTTAAGGGGAATAATTTCCTGGACAGTGGCGTTACGACCTAGGCCTACTCTTATTTCGGATTTAAACCGCCAAGGGTTCTTCATCTTTAAAGCAAACCTTTTCATGAAACCTCGGATTTTCGTCCCACCGATCGACTAGACACTGTCCTTGCCGGGCAATCCATCCTGCACCTCTGACAAGGAGAACCACGCTGAAAAATCCCGGGGAACTGTCTCGGCCCTTACCGGTATAGAATTCCGGATGCCCTGGTTAGCGAGTCAGCGCCTTAATCACTGAGCCCCCGCGGCTCCCGGAACATTTACTACTTAACTCAATTTATATATCAGGAACTTTAAAATCGTGAACGTTAAAATCGACAAATTATTTGCAT